GGGGCACCGGCGCCCCTGAACGGCGCATCCGAAGCTCGAGTCAATTTCTTTCTGTGGCCCGGAGTTATGGTTGGCATTATTGGCAATGCCTCACTCTCACTCACTGATACGAGTGCTTTAACAGAAAGGTTATCTAAATGAGAAGCACAACACCTGAGGTATCAAGGCCACCAACCACCCTGCTTGGTTTTTGCCTCAAGCATGGGGTTAGTTTAGTTGTGTTACAGTGGCATGATTGAAGGTTGCAGTTGGTCACCCAAAGGTTAAATTCAACGAGTGGCTGAGTTATTGATTGTTCCCCAACCGCGATATCAAGGCAGAAGATGCATTAATCAAGGAAATCCCATGTATGTCTGCATATTTTCAATGATTCTTCAGGTTTGAGATTCACCAGCCATGGAACGAAGCTGTTATCAAGCTACACGTACACGTGTCTATGCCTGCAAGCTGCTGGTGCCCGTCACGGCTGCGGCCACAGCCGTAAGTAAGGACTTCGAGAAGCTTCAGCTAGTTCGTCGAATCCTCAAGCGGGGAGAACTTGAACTGCTGCGTAACCTTGTCCTCGAACTGAATATGCACGTACCCTGCTCGTCACTATCAGATGATGGCTGGTACCTCAATTCATGCTTCCTTGCCCTTAGCTCTTCCACTTATCCCAAACCTATCAAATATGGATAAAGTCATTCATTATCTGGAACATCTTTTCATCTCATGCTAATCTTCATTGAAATTGTTTCAGCCTTAAAGATGCAATCTCGATTGTTGTACCGGTAATTACGGAGTAGACAGAGGGCATTGATAAGCAAGGCCGCTTAGAAATTGAGGAGAAAAGTCAGTGGATGTCCTGCACCGTACCCATTCATTATGCAGGAACAGATCCTGCATCACGCATTTTCGTGGGTGAGAGCAAGACTGCAACGAAAACAGCTCCTTCACACGAGATGGCATGCAGCATGTAATTCAAAGGAGGTTCCGTAAAAAGAAATAGCCGATGGCAACTCAACATGTGTGCTCAGTGTTTTTCCCGCTGTAACACTGCCACGATGAGCTCGCTCTTTTTTTTATCCCGTCCTGTCAGCAGCATGATTACAATCGATGACGACGCTGTACGCGGCCTATGTGATACGCCGGCCCAAACAGTAGCTCCCTTACAAGGTTATCCCTGGTAAGCTTCAGACACCGACACGATCCAACACGATCATCGATCCCCCCAAATTCTCTCCATAGAAAGCTGTGGTTCTGCTTCAATTTTTTCTCTCTATTCCCCATCAGCTGTGCTAAAGGATTAACTTTGCAGTTAGTCCAATTTCCCAATCCCAAACTGGTTCAACGGGCCCGTGTCCACCACGCTAGAAAGGGAATCGTCTTGTTGCGACTGGTTTGATGTTTAGGATTCTTACAGGAACTGCTCCGAAATATTCAAGTTTCTGTTGTCAAGATAAGCCGGCGTCCCGCCACCCGCTGACTAGCAGTAGCCGGGGACGATATTGGGTATAAATTATTGTGCATGGCTTCTAGAGATGATGCCTATAGCTTGATATCGGGGATAGACCGTGATTGACCTGCAGGTTAATTCAATAAACAAGATGATCCTGGCCGTAGATGACCATCAGCAATGTGACACGCACGGCAACACGGCTGCTGTACCGAGCCAGCTAATGATGATCTATCGACAACCGATTGATGATCACCGCATGGAGTGAGCTCTATCATTGACCAGCCGAAGTGATAAGCAACTTTTGGCGGAGACTTCTGAAAATGGCCACCTCCTTTTTTTCATGTTCCCACCCGTTGGCGCTCCACACAGTCTGGTAATGGAATCGCGTCCAGTTCGTTAGTTAGCCTCGCACCTCTTTGTTTCTTCGTCATGGCTTCCACTCTTCAACTGAATCTGTTCTAATAAGATGGCTGATTAATAAAAAATACGTCATGTTTCTGCCTCAATGATGTGTTTCACATAGCAGAAAGCCATAAGTCGAGTCTTGAAATACTCATTATGAAGTACTGTAAAAGGGTTAATTTCTCAGAGGTTAACCTATACCCATCGCCTCTTAGGTCTCAGCAACTGGTATTGAAAAGTTGCCAAGGGATTACGACACAAGCGAGCACCAAAAATAAGCATGTCAAGTTTCCCGCTCATCCGGCTCGGGCTTCTCGTTCCGATATTAAATTGTCAATACTAGCTTCGTGTTCTAGAATTGCGAACGAAGCCGCTTAGTCAATTCGATACTTTTAGGTATGAAAAGTGTCTCACATTGCCAATTACATCTGGCACAAATCCATCAAATAATTATCCATCGTGAGCCCGTGTCTTGTGTGTTTCGCATCCCGATCCATACACAATAGAAGTTGATGGGTGTCACGTGTACTCGTGATTCCACATTCCAATATGGGTCTGTTGCCGTGCCAACGTGGTGGCTCTTTACTTTGAGTTCCAACCTTTGATATGTAGATTTATAGAAGACTCAAAGTTTTACTACAGCCATCATGCATTCAAGCTAAACCGTTTTATGCCACAAAAGTTATCGTCTCCAGGTCATCGCATACCTATTCAAACATCACCTAACGAAAAGTATCACTCTATATCCCCACATGCGATTCACAACGCAAGAAACACCCTTCGACCAGCATATGCCATAGCTTAAGCCTCTTCGCCTGCGACTCAACACATCCACTATGGCAAGACTGGCAGACATTTATCCCTCCAGTGACGATGACTTACCTGATCTGAAAACGCTTATTCGGAAACCAAGCACCCGAGCAACAAAGACAACTACGCCAACACCTTCAGTTAGCAAGCCTACGATTCCTAAGACTACTTCCAATGTTGAAACCCGACGTGTGCGACGTCTTGGAGAGCCAAATCAAGTCGCCGCCAACCCGCTCTTTCAGAAATGGAACTCGGAAGAACATGAAAGCACAAGTGGTGGTCGACGGAGTAAGTCAAGGGCTGCAAGTCATGAGAAGAAGCCATCACGACAAACGACCCCAATCGACGAACTTTCTTCATATTCAGAATCCGAATTTGGCTCTGAGACTGAGAAGGACATGCCGCAGTCTCGACAACAGCCAAGAAGGAGGAGAAACCAGAGGGTTGTGGAAGATTCTGATGACGAGAGCGATGAGAACTATGAATCCGAAAAGGAAACAGTCTTGACAAGGGTTCGACGGCTTCAGAAAACAAAGACAAGTACGGTGACAATACCTACTCTGGAGATTCGAAAGCCGAAACCAAGTATTCATTCTGGGACCAAGTCAAAGGCATTGCTTTTTGCACGAGAGATTGATACCGATGCTGAAAGCCAAGTGAGCCAGGAGGACGAGAAAGCAGAAGAGCCAAGTATCTATCAAACTGCAGACGAACATTCTGACTCTGCCTCAGAGTCGTATTGGTTGAATGACTCCCCTGAGCCCCCGACAAGGAAAGGGGCAAGATCCTTGAGTAGCCAGCCATCAAAGACCGTTGGCACCAGGGAGCGTATCCCATCAATCAAGAATGCTCCAACTCTTCAACCAAACCCCTCTACAAGCATTAGCAATGAAAAGACCCGCGATATTGCCAAGAATACTGCTTCAAGTAAAGAGGTTGCTGGGTCCAGGAAGATTAGCCAAAGTGGGAAACGACTTGCTTCAGGGACGACCACCACCTCGGACCTTGCAGACACACTATCTAAGCTGCGGCTACAGCTCGAGGACTTTTCAGATGAGGAGAGCAGAGTATCGAAGATAGACGAGTTCACCACACCACCCAGTACTCCTCCTAAAGCATCCAAGCCAAGAGGACTTGCATCACCAAGCAAGAAAATACAGATCCCCAAGACGCCCCATCGTCCAAGTATGGATGCCTTTTGGAACCAGGACTTTGTTAACGATTGGAACGACCAGCACTCGCCACGCAAGCTCATCCTCCCTCCGGTTACCAAGAGTCCCAGCAAGGCGAGCCCGAAGAAAGAGCCCAAGAAGGAGACCAAGAAGTCCTTTGAATCTAGAAAACATGCACTGGCCGAGAGCTTTCTAGCCGAACTCGATCTCGAGATCACACAGGGCAGAATTGCCAAGCTTGCTGAGTCCACAGGTGGTGTCAAGCTCGTTTGGACGAAAACACTTAATACGACGGCTGGGCGAGCAAGTTGGCGTTGTGAGACTATTAGGACGACACGCAAGGCGGAAGACGGCCAGCCCATCAAGATATTCAAACATCATGCATCAATCGAACTTGCCGAGAAGGTCATTGATGACGAGAATCGCCTACTCAATGTCATGGCACACGAGTTTTGCCATCTCGCCAACTTCATGATCAGTGGCATAACGACAAATCCTCACGGCCGAGAGTTCAAAGATTGGGCGGCCAAGTGCTCAGCTAAGTTTGGTGATCGCGGTATCCAAGTGACGACCAAGCACAGTTACGAAATCGACTTCAAGTACGTTTGGGAGTGTGAAGAATGCGGAGCTGAGTACAAGCGGCACTCCAAGAGTATTGATACCCAGCGATATAAATGTGGGAAGTGCAAGGGCAACTTGAAGCAGACCAAGCCAGCACCAAGAGGAGCAGCAGCAGGCAAAGCACCGAGCCGATATCAGGCGTTTGTGAAAGAGCAGATGGGTGTGGTCAGAGGAGAGAACCCGGGCAGTCCTCAGAAGGTGGTCATGAAGCTCATTGCAGAGAAGTGGGCGAAGCAAGAGGGTGGTAAGACTGGAAGCAAAGTGGTTAGCAAGCTGGGAGTTGAGAGTGTTGTTGACAAGATGGTTGATCTAACTATTGAGGCTGAAGCATAAATGCATAACTAGGAGTTTGTTTGTCTATACCCATTCAATATTACCATTTACGTGTATGAGTTCACTGAATTCATCTGCGCCTTCACTCACCTACGAAGCTGCCTGTCAAAATCCAGACTATTAGATATCATATAACATATCTAGGAACAAATACTCTCCAGTCTACAGAGACACTGCCTTCATTACCCTCATGGAAGCTCATCGATTACTTTGTATATCAACCAGACAAACTTTCAAGAAATTAGAATGAGAGTGTGTATATAGCCACTGAACGTTGCAAATGCAGACACAATTCGAGTTTGATCTTATCAGCCAGTAGTTTCTCGAACATTGTAGAGCTTCCCAAGCTACACCTGGTTGAATGCTCGTCAACATGGCCCTCTATCATGACGTCTCGTCATATTCATCTAAAAGCAGCTCATGAGTCTACTTATTTTTGCATGCTAGGGAACCATACTTGTCGTGTCCATAATTGTATATTCATCCATCGACAAAGAAAACGGGTCATAAGTCGTGGTAGTCATCTGATGATATCCTAACTCTTTCCTGCTGCATCCCCCTTACCCTGAATATGCTCTCCATTCACTTTTAACAAACTTCAACTACTTTAAGCTTCACCAAAGAGGCCCCAGTCCTTGATCTTAAATGTTGACCAGATAGTAGCAGAATACTCAACGGCAGCACCGATGAGCTTACCCTGACGTCCCAGTTCAAGATCAACCTCCGCCTCGTCGTACTCTCCCTTGATATGAGGCACATTGATTGTGATGAGAATATCAGTCTTGGCCTTCTCGAGCCGCAAAAGAGTTAGGATGATAGCGGTGAAATCGGGCGCAGATGTTGAGTCGCGGGACTGGTTCACACGAGGAGTCTGTGTGGAAATAAGTGTGTAGGCGGGAGTACCAGGTCTACAGATATCAGTAACTGTCACTTCCAGAAGGCATCTGAGACAACATACTCTAGATTCGAGAACTCAGTCTCGGCAGTGTTCCAGATCTTGACGGTATCGATATCCGACCCAACCATATCTTCAAGATGAGTTGTCATGGCACGACCATCAACCTCAGGACCTGAGCCAGAGCCTCCAACACGCTCTGTGATGTCGAAGATGATGCTGGTGAAACCATCCTGATCGATCCAGACTTCTTGGTTATCGGGAACTTGTCGCAACTTGCTGCAGCGCATAGAGTCAGCACAAGGAAAGGTTTAGGCGCAAAGAGCAATGAGGACGAACCTGACGTCGGCGAACTTGGCGGGCAGGTCGCAAGTGATTGCGCCGCCAAAGAGAGGCGTGTTGATGTATTCAGGCATTTCGTTTGAGTAAATGCGATGGCTGTATATGGCTTGGAATCTGTACGTTCGTCGCAAACTCAAAGGTGTCGATCGTACTATGTAGGTACCTAGCTAAGGAACAGTCGGCGGCGAAAGTTGGAGTATATATGCTTCGGACGGTCAAGCTCGTGACTCGTACGGGAACAGAAAATCTTGGTAAAAAGTGCTACAAGGTAGAAACTGGGCGCCTGAAAGTGGGTGAAGAGTGATGGATCATGGGTTGGTACGGGTATGCCTTGGGAGCACAGGCAGTTAGTTCTAGGTACCTTATTGTGTTTGGAGGGGCTGAGGTGACCCCGCCGAGATGGGGATGACGTAAAAATCAAGGCGCAGAAGCCTCACAGAAAAACGGGTATAAAAGCTATTAAAAAGCCCAAAAAGAGCTTCGATGGTCTTAAAAATGCCAAAAACAAAAGACCGACTGAGATGCTACACTATTAAATGCATTTTGATCCAAAAAAAGTAGCAAAAATCAAAATTCGAATCTAGAGTCTCTAGACGAATGGTTTCCAAAGATTAGGTGAATGGAGTCTGTTGGGCCAATCCCACGGTCACATCTGGTAAAAGGCAAGAGGTGAGTTCGATGGGAGGTCCCACTCCGAAAGAAAGCAGTGCAATTTAGACTTATATACCCTCAATCTAATCGCAGCAGCCAATCAAAGCTCACACCAGCTGCCCCTCATAGCTCCAAGCTGCACCTCGCTCAGTGTTACCTCATGTAATCTGATCCTTCAATTGACAATTGAACTTGAACTTGTTCTCTGATTCTTTTGTTTTCCATTTATTTTCAACAACTAAACACCTTCACACCAAAATGTCCTCCTGCATCTTCTGTCGCATCATCAAGGGTAAGAGAAGGGGGAAGCACGGTGGTTGAATGAGTAAAAGAGTATGCGGGGAGTTGCCGAGGGGAGAGTATGTTGAGGGTGTTCATCAGCTCTTTTGTCTAACTCCTGGTCTTCATGTAAACTAACTTGGTCCTTAATTAGGTGATATCCCCTCTTTCAAGCTATTTGAGAGCGACAAGACTCTCGCTTTCCTTGATATTGGTCCTCTCAGCAAGGGCCACGCTGTATGTTCTCAACAGCTCACGTCATGAACCCACTGACAAGATGTAGCTTGTCATTCCCAAGCACCACGGTGCTAAGTTGGCCGATATTCCTGACGATCACCTCACCGAGATTCTGGTAAGTACTGGAGCGTTAGTGATCAATACTCAAGTCTAATTATGTTCATAGCCTGTTGTCAAGAAGATTGTCAACGCGACTGGTGCCACCGATTACAATATCCTCCAGAACAATGGCCGCATTGCTCATCAAGAAGTTGACCATGTAAGTCTATCATACTAAGTCTACGGTATAACGAAACTAACATAATCCTAGGTTCACTTCCATATGGTAACATGATTAAGCCTGAATTATCGTTGAGCTACAGCTAACAAGTATTCAGATCCCTAAGCCTAACGAGACCGAGGGCCTCGGCGTCAAATGGCCTACAAAGCCTGCTGATATGGAGCAGCTCAAGGCTTACTGCGAGGAGCTCAAGGCCAAGATCTAAAGAGCTTCGATATACGCATATGCGATAGTGTCCGATTGGGAGATTGGGGAACTGGTTCATGAAGAGCCCTTCTAGTATTATTGTCCGGTTACCAGGTACCATCCTGCGCCCGCCAAATCAACCTGATTATCTACAATCCAAGTCCCTTTTGTGCTTCATACGTCTCGTCTAGTCTAGGTCATCAGCAGAAGTGCTGGCTCCCGCAGCCGCCAGTGGCTTGAGCGAGTACCAGTCAGTCTTGCCATCGCTCTGTATCGCACCCTGTCTGTCGTAGAGTGTTCGTGCTCGGATGTATGGGTCGAGATTCCAGTAATCCTCCCTGAGAAGTTTGGCAATCTTCTCTCGCTCAGCCTTGAGTTGTTTGCCCTGCTCACCATCAGGATGACGGATCCATTCCCTAGTTGTATGCTCGAATTTCTTGACCAACTCTTCACGGTCAGTCAAAAGACGATCCCGGGTTTGCGTATCCTTCATCTTATCATTTTCGCCAGCAATAGGCTCGATGTACTTGTACTCCCAGTTCTCATCGCCTTCAAGCTCCTTGATCAGATGGTCTGGAGCGATGAACTCCTCGAGTTCAGCCCGGTTGTTGGTGAAGTGAACCTTGGCTGCCACCACAGGGTCAAGCCAGCCACGGATGACCTTCCAGATACCTTATTACGAGTCAATATTTATCTTCGCTTTGAAAACAGCAACATACCTTGGAAAAGCCAGGGAGCTTTGTGCACCAGGACAGCACCTAGAGACTCGGGATAGTTGGCCTCGAAGCACTTAATCATGAACTTAACAGGTGTGTAGTCCATGTTGGCCATAGAGAAGCCAGTCATGTCGAAAACGATGCACTGCGTTTGCATGTCAGTGTTGTGCTCTGATTTCTAGACCACGGGTACTTACAGCTGTATCAACAGGAGGCTGGAGTGTCATGCGAGCTGTCTCAATAATGTAGACTGTGTACTTTTCCAAGCTTTCTTCGCACTCTTGCCCAGCCTTGTGCAGGCGAACCCGGACAACACAGATAGGTCGGCCTTGCTTGTCAGTGCCGTGCAGGAAACTTTTGCCCATTCGGAGTTGCTTCATCATGTCGGCGCTAACTTGCTTGGTAGGAGAGTCGGTCTTCTCATCCTCAACCGCAAAGGCATCTCCGTTCTTCATGATTTCAGAGTCCACCTTCATGTCATTATGCCTCCAATGCATAGTGGATACCAACATGACGAGAGCCTTCTCGACATCCCACTTTCGTGCTCTGAGAAAGCGTAGAACAAGGGCATCAGGGTGATCGTGCTTCACCATAGACCATATCGTGTGTCGAATTGTTTCAGGGGACTCGTTGGCCAAAGTCTCATGGAATTGTTTGGTTTCATTGTACTTGTCCTCTTCAGCGGAACCTTCAGTTGGTGTCGAAGTACCAGATTTGCCTTTCTTGAACATGCCAAATCCTCGCTTCTTCTTCGGATCAGCCTCTGCTGGACTCGCCTCCTCCTTTTGGGGCAAGAGGTTGGCACCAGCGCTCTCGTCATCGGCCACGCCAGTGAGTTGGAAGACAGCAGTCCATAGCTTACGAAGCTTCTCCTCTTGCTCAGGAGTCAGGTTCCCCGGGCGCCCAGGGGGTGATTGGAAAGACATGATCTCGAACTCTTCTTCGAACTCTTCTGGTGGGGTTTGGTTGCTGGGGCTTCCTGCAGGCCAAGCTGATATAGCAACAACAGCCGTAATGATTGCTGCAGCTACAACAACCGAGTAAAGCGAGTTGGCCTCAAGGGGAAGTTTGCTACTTGGATTTGAGCCGGTTTTGCTGTATAATGTCCGTTTGATGACAATTGAGTGAGTGAGGTTCCTTGAACCTGTGAGATATCTCGCAGAAGCGATACTCCTAGCAGATGCAGGGGTTCCTCGTGAGTTGGTAAGGGGTAGTCTCAGTAAGCTGGAAGAAAGGACAGATGACCGTAGCTGGAGGTGGCGCGAAAGTGGCTGAAAGGAGTATTTAAGAGGGCTATACGAGCATAGGTTCCGTCCCAGTTGAGTCCTCATAGGTAAAGGGTATGTCAGATTTGCAAACGCGTACACATACGCCGCAAAAACCAAAGTTGGTAGGTAAATCAATGTCGTCGTTTATGGGGATTTTTAGAATGCGGGACACCCTTTCTTGGCGTCGTATTGGCTCCACAGATCCTCGACGTTGCTTTGCAGGTACAAAGCAAAAACAATCCACTGACAGGCCTCAAGGAATGACCATGAAGATATGAATCGTTCGGATTTTTCACAGGATGGTACGAGCGTAATAAAATATAATAGTCTGTTGATGCTCAAGGTGTGTTCGGAGCTTGCAAGACTCCGGTTCCCGCGGATGGAGAGTGGATGGATCAATTATTGACGTAGGGCCTTTGTTAGTGTTCGGAGTACTCGGGAACAAAGATTGGAGGCCTATTATTGAAGTTGGCGTTGTTCTGTCACGCACCTCAAGAACCTCAATTATGATGTCTTGAACAAAATGTGACACAACATCAAGACTATGGCCAGCAGAGAAATTAGCAAGAGTTTTTGAAAATAATTGACAACAAGGTACGTTACTGCTTAGAACTACTTTGAACAAATGTGAACGTGATGTGAGCGTGGCTTGTGCCCTACCCTACAGAGCTAGCTAGCAGCTTGAAGACAAAGAATCCTGCGACATCCCACGGTCAAGGGGCCCCATGTCTCACAGTCGATGTAAAATGAATGTTCCTAACACGGCAGTGTTCTTTGCCAAAGTCTTCCTATAATGAGCTTTACTTTATTCGGTATCCGTACCATATCGTATGTCTTCGTCATGCCTGCCCCTGAGTGGAAGACTACTCACGCGACACGACTAATACGTGGATAGTAGGGCGATTGGAAAACATAATGACCGCCATGCCTGATATATGATGAGTTCTAGAAAATATTATGTTGAAAGAACAAAAGTATGTAAGACTCGAGACCAACTGATATCGAAATCAGGCATGATGTAAAGTACATATGATGCTATCTGGACAATAGAAACGTCGTGGGGAAAGCCACACGGACTGGGAGCCACATCTTGGAACGAATTGCGGGGGCGCCACAACAGACTTCCATCCAATGTTTGTTGACTTTCGTACAACCCAACTTCAGGTCGCGATATCAAATACGCGGATTGCATTACCCAGTACGCCGAGCCACGAATACACGAAATAATACACAAAAACAGAACAGCGAATGCGAAATACAGCATACAAGTTGCCAAAATGTCGACTACACCTCTCGATCCCGGCAAACGCTCAAATTCTCGTTCCCGAACGTCACGACCTACCACCCCGCTGCGACCTTCATCCCGATCATCCTTTCGCGAGTCCGCGCGAGGTGCTGGAGAACATGATGCGCCATTTCCGCTGAATGCATTTGAGCCAGCCTTCGCTGAGCTTTCCGATGCCATGGCCGACCTTGAAGCGAACATGATGCACTTTCAGCTTATGCACGAGAGTTTAGCGAGATTCAGCGAATCGTTCGCGAGCTTCCTTTATGGCCTGAACATGAATGCCTTCTGTGTTGATTTCCCAGAGGTATGTCTATCGAAGCTATCCGTATCGGATATGTACGGGTTTGTAATTCTAAGACTTATTCTCGCAGGGACCTGTTCCAGAATCTTTCCGCAGAGACAGAACTCAACCAGAACAACCCGCTGTGACCCCATCAAAATCAGAGGCTGATGCAGAAATGACGTTCATGTAAGTCCTTCTTTTTAAAAACCTTTATTGGCTCTTCTAACTAGCCTCTAGGACCACTGACACGTCCTTTGTCGAGAATCCACCTACTACCACCAAGTCTTCCAAATTCACCACACCAGAGCCTCCAAAACGACAATCACGTCTCCCTGCTGCTCCCGGTCGAGGAACATCGTCTCGGGGAAGATCGACTCGTGGTGTTGGACGTAGCCGGCCTAGTGGACTGGCCAGAGCGCGCGGTCGAGGTGTCAGGTGAATATGATCGGGATATCGACAGAAATATTCCAAAACGCCATTTGCAATGTCAAAAATCAAGCCCAGCTCCGATGCGCCCTAGGATTTTATATCCCCCTTTTAGCGTGCTATGAAGAACTTTATCGGACATGATTTAGGCGTCCATGGCAACATCGTTATCTTGGTCGGCAAATGTGCGCTTTCGGTCGCCGTTGTCTGTTCGCAAGCCGACGGCAGCTTCGGCCTCCTGTTGAGTGTATGGTCCTTCGGCGATCTGCTTGACTCTAGTGGGGAGTTAGAACACATGTCAGAATAGACAAATATATACCCATTGCGAGTCACTATGTGACATACCTTCTCTTATGAGGCTTTCCCTTTTGATGCGAGACCAGAGTAGCATCCGTATCGAACCATTTGGAGCACTCAACACAGTAGTGACGCCCAAGGCCGGGAAGGTCCTCAGCAGCCTTTGTCTCCATGAATTGCTTCAGATGCTTGGGTGACATGAGGTCGGCCTTGACCTGGTCGACGTCTCGAGTCTTGCGCCTTGTCTTGGTGATTGTTTTCTTGTTTGTGACACCCATCTTTGCGGTGACTTGAACGGATGTGATTATTGGAGTATGCTATTCCAGATTGTGATATTGGTATCTTCAAGCTAGGCGGTCGTGGAGGTTGGCGATTTTCGAAAAAAGTTCTGGTGGGGCTGACCCGATAAGGCGATAAGCCGGATGCGGGGCACTACAGCCACAGGTTGAATCCGACCACGGCACGATATCACGACCATTTCGAGCGGGAGACAAAACAAGGCATGCTCTGCGACTCAGAAAACAATTTCGAGAAACTATGAGTAGAAATAGAAGGGAAATAACGAAAGAGGAAAAAAAAACAAAAAAAATAAAACAGAACAAAGTAAATAAGAAGTCTACAAGATAAAAGCCCCCAAGTATCACTGTAATCTTCTGACAACAACTAACACCTAAGCAATAGGCAAAGGGAGCATCATTGTAAATAGACTTGTAGAACGGAATTGTGACCAGCTCTACTTTTTTCTTGTAGAGTTCTCCGTTCTCTGACGCTTAGTTTCATTCCAATGTTTTATCATGCTTGAATAGAAATTTCATTTAGTCAATCGGCTTTCAACCTCCCATAAAAATTGAGATATGCTGTCACATGCCCAGCCTGCCAGCTTGTTCAGCCATCATATGGGTATTGGACGGGCTTGGTGATACCCGGCGGATAGCGGGTCTGGGGTCACCGGCTCCGGGATCAACGATCGGCAAAGAGCAAGTTAGACTTCAAGCTCGAAGGGACGAGAAGAAGGATGCTTGCACGGCTAGATGGGCGTTTGCATAGCCGTCAGCGCTATAGAATTTGCGATAGTATTGATCGGCTCCCAGTGCTCCATTAGTATTGTGGGTTACAACGCAGAGAGTTCGTGATGTGGCTTAAAGGTGGACAAGAGTCTACAATCGGCTCCAAGAACGGATATGAAGATTATAATCGCCTCAGTTATCATTGGACAATACATATCAACTGGGCGGTCTGCGGCATGACATTTGGCAGAACCACAATTGGGGTGTGTATACAAGGGCATAGGGGGTTGGGGTTTGGTGAAAAGCTTCACATTCCCCCTCGTTCAAGGGCTACCCCAAATTCCCTCAAGCGCTCGCAGATGAAAATTGAATTCCGAAAAACAGTGTTTGAAGCAAAAAAATGATCGGTGACCGAGCATCACGACCTCGGAGGATCGCATGTGCGAAGGGATATATCCGTTCAGCGGCGACCGAAGGTAAAGCCGCTGGCCCGAGGAACTGTAGCGATTAAACCCTGTGAAGCGAGTCAGAGTTTTGGCCAACCAGAGAGCATCTTTTGTCATTGATTGTGAGGTTCCGGGGCATGATGGACGCCTAGACCGTTTCGGGGCCCACGATGCGGAAATTACATCATGGTCCGGGGCTCACGCCGTAACGGGTGCCCGCAAGACCGAGGTAACAGCAACTGCCTCGCAACCAGAGGAAAAAAAGAGAATCAAATCGTGGCTTCTGTGGAAGAAGATGAATACTATGTATAAGATGAGAATGATTTTGATAGAATAATATATAAAACAAGACTGTAATACAATGAGATGATGTCTTTGAAAGCTCTACAACACTTGATAACGATTTAAATCCAAAAAATACATAAACTTTACGTCCGTTTCTTGCTTGAGCTAAATTATAAAACCCAATTGCTGCATTAACCCAGATAAACACATGACCGGCTGAGGAGCATAAAATCCTTACCTGCTCGGCAGCACATTCCCCCACCTTCTTCCTTCAACCCACCCGAAAAGCTTCAACTTCTTCAGTTGAACATTCGCAATTCCCCTTCAAGCATACATCGAGTCACTCATCGACCGATATTGGGTCGTAAGTCAATTACAATACCCAACCGTCGTCGTTAATCACTCTTTGCTAACGAGAGTCCCTCACAGCACCATAGTCGCAATGCTTGCTACACGCCAGGTTCTGGGCAACATGTCCCGGAGCCGCGCCCTTGCTGGCGCTGCCTCTGGCTTCCGCCGCATGGCCACAGTCTCAGATAGCCCTCTGGACAAGAAGGTAAGCTTCAAACCAATTGCATTGCTGTCTCTTGATTCCATGACCCGAAGCTTCATTACTTCTCTTTGCACTACCATTCAGGCGCCAAACGTCATGGCGCATGGGTCAGTTCGGCTGCCAATCCACCGGCAATGCCGAGGCCTGAACTGCGCGACTTATAGCTCAATGGCAACGAGAGAATATGAAGCCCGGGTTATGGACTCAGGAAGATGCAAGACATGAGATTTGGGAACAATTGTGCTAATATGCCTCGCTGGACAGGTCCGACAGAACAACTGGGAGGAGGGTAACTACATCAATTACAAGAAGATGTCCGAGAACCTCGACATCGTTCGTGCTCGTCTGAACCGACCTCTGGCCTACGCTGAGAAGATTCTTTACTCTCACTTGGACGACCCTCACGGCCAAGACATCCAGCGTGGCAAGAGCTACCTCAAACTACGACCTGACCGTGTTGCTTGCCAGGATGCCACCGCTCAGATGGCTATCCTTCAGTTCATGTCCGCCGGCATGGACAAGGTTGCCAACCCCACCACTGTCCACTGTGATCACTTGATCGAAGCCCAAGTCGGTGGTGCCAAGGATCTTGCCCGCGCTATTGACATCAACAAGGAGGTCTACAACTTTCTTTCTACTGCCTGTGCCAAGTACGATATCGGTTTCTGGAAGCCCGGCTCTGGTATCATTCACCAGATTCTCCTCGAGAACTACTGCTTCCCTGGTGGTCTTCTTATCGGTACTGATTCTCACACTGTCAACGGTGGTGGTCTCGGTATGGCCACGATTGGTGTCGGTGGTGCCGATGCTGTCGATGTCATGGCCGACCTCCCCTGGGAGCTTAAGGCCCCTAATGTTATTGGTGTCAAGCTCACTGGTCAGCTCAACGGCTGGACTGCTCCTAAGGGTAAGGATGACCTCTCACTTTTTTTCTTGACTTTGCTGACATTCTTCAGATATTATCCTGAAGGTTGCCGATATCCTCACTGTCAAGGGTGGTACTGGTGCTATTGTTGAGTACCACGGTCCTGGTACCGACGCTATCTCTTGTACCGGTATGGCCACTATTTGCAACATGGTAAGTGACTCTTGTTCCTTCATAAACAGAATTGTTGGCTGATATTCTCCAGGGTGCTGAAATCGGTGCCACCACCTCCGTCTTCCCCTTCAACGACCGCATGTACGACTACCTCGCCGCCACCAAGCGAAAGGAGATCGGTGACTTCGCCCGCCAGTACGCCCACGGCCTCAAGCCCGACGAGGGTGCTGAGTACGACCAGCTCATCGAGATCAACCTCTCCGAGCTCGAGCCTCACATCAACGGTCCCTTCACTCCTGATCTGGGTACTCCTATCTCCAAGTTCAGCCAGGCTGTCAAGGAGAACGGCTGGCCCGAGGAGCTTAAGGTCGGTCTTATCGGATCTTGCACCAACTCCTCTTACGAGGACATGACCCGTGCTGCTTCCATTGCCCGTGATGCCCTCAACCACGGCATCAAGGCCAAGTCTGCTTTCACTGTTACCCCCGGTTCCGAGCAGATTCGCGCCACCATCGAGCGTGATGGTCAGCTCCAGACCTTCGAGGAGTTCGGCGGTATCGTCCTTGCCAACGCCTGCGGTCCTTGCATTGGTCAATGGGACCGACGTGACGTCAAGAAGGGTGAGGCCAACTCTATCATCTCCTCTTACAACCGTAACTTCACTGGCCGAAACGACGGTAACCCCGCCACCCACTCTTTCGTCGCCTCTCCCGATCTGGTCGTCGCCATGACCATTGCCGGCTCCCTCCACTTCAACCCTCTCACCGATACCCTGAAGGACAAGGACGGCAAGGAGTTCAAGCTTGCTCCTCCCACCGGCGATGGTCTCCCCAGCCGAGGCTACGACCCCGGTCAGGACACCTACCAGGCTCCTCCCAGTGACCGTGCCAGCGTCACTGTCGATGTCGCCCCTACCTCCGACCGTCTCCAGATCCTGACTCCCTTCCAGCCTTGGGATGGCAAGGATGCTAAGGACATCCCTATCCTCATCAAGGCCAAGGGCAAGACCACCACTGACCACATCTCCATGGCCGGTCCCTGGTTGAAGTACCGTGGTCACCTTGACAACATCTCCAACAACATGTTGATTGGTGCCATCAACGAGGCCAACGGTGAGGCCAACAAGATCAAGAACGTCACCACTGGCGAGTGGGGCGCTGTCCCTGCTGTCGCCCGTGACTACAAGGCCAAGGGTATCAAGTGGGTTGTCATTGGTGACTGGAACTATGGTGAGGGTTCTTCCCGAGAGCACGCCGCTCTTGAGCCCCGTCACCTTGGCGGTCTTGCCATCATTACCCGATCTTTCGCCCGTATCCACGAGACCAACCTGAAGAAGCAGGGTATGCTTCCTCTTACCTTCACCGACCCTGCCGACTACGACAAGATCCGACCTGATGACAAGGTCGATGTCCTCTGCACTCAGCTCGCCGTTGGCAAGCCCCTTCCCCTTGTTGTCCACCCCGCCGACGGCAGCCCATCTTTCGAGATCCCTCTGTCCCACACCTTCAACGAGGCCCAGATCGAGTGGTTCAAGAACGGTTCTGCCCTGAACACCATGGCCAAGGCCACCAAGAACTAAAGAAGGAATGAAGTAAAGTAAAGAAGAGCAAATTGATATTTTGGGTCACATACGGCGTACATCCTGATGTTCTCGATTGGGTTTCGAGGGCAGACAGTAGAGGGGCTTTTCAACGGACGGTATATGTCTAAAATGTTGAGCGCCCATGTCTTTTACATATTTGTAGCAAAGGAATAGCCATGCTTTCATTAGTTGTAACAAAATTCTAACTGTTCAAATATCTCTTGTTTAAAAGTGACGCTTCTGCTTCATTTACGATATGCAATAGTGATATCTGGTATCGATCCATCGTGCCAGACTGTTTAGATACGAAGCCCGAGCAATTCTGTAAACGTCTCTTCAGACTCCTAATTTTCTGATGCTGCCTACCTATAGCGCCTTAAGCATTCTGAACTCCGTGTTATAAGTCCCAAAAACAACTACATCTCTCAGCTTTCATGTCAACTGTGGCCGTGCACTGATCACGTGCTGGGGACAACTCAACAGCCACACCTCGACATAAGGGTCAAGGGTCCGTTGTCCAGTTTGACTTGCCATCGTCCTGCGACTGTTTCTCAGGGCGTGGAAGTGATTTGCGATTTCAACCAGTTTTTTCTTATTGTCAAGAAACTCGTATTAGTTCTCTTACTTCTATCTTATTATCCCCTCCGTGTCGTCGGTCCTTTCATTCCTTTGTAACGGTGATCATCCGGCTGCTCCGAGCAGCTCGAATCTATTAGACATGCGACCCCGTCTCCAGAACTTCAACACTTTACGAGCCCGATCATATCTGACACGGTTGCCACTATTCACACGACTTATCATTGTTGCTATTGTTGCTCTCTCGATCGCATCGCTGCAATCAGTATGGAACCTGCGAGAATGGGGCGCCCTCATCCCTGAAGAGATTAGCATTACAAATGGTACTACCAAGCGATATTGAATATTTGCGCATTTGCTAACTAGACTTGTTCAAAGCATATCGGTTGTCGACATTCCCGTTAATACACCTTAACATTATCCATGCTATCCTTAACCTCGCGGCGCTTACTCCTCTCATGGAGCGATTCGAGAACGAACATGGCACCTTAACATCCCTTGCTTTGTTCTTTGGACGTAAGAAACTTCAGAAATGCTGAAGGACTATGGGTTGACTCGTTTTATTTAGCCCTGACATCGATACCGGCTGTCATGTACGTTCTGATCGAACGATATGTATTCCACGTAAACCATGGCGTTCTAGGAGCGAGGTACGGCGACAAGGAAATCATTAGACAGGAACTTAAGCTAACATTTGTTCTAGCATGTGGGTATTTACTCTACTGGCGATGGAGTCTATTCAAACATACAAAACCAACCCTCATTTCGTTGTCGGTACTGTCCATATCCCAACGTGGACTACCCCCTTAATCATGTGTATGGTTGTGAGAGCACTGGTACCTGGTACTAGTCTTCTAGGCCACCTATGCGGAATTGCAATTGGATACGTTGGTAGGTCTCATAGTCATGGTCATGGTCGAAAGGATACTGATAGTTAGAATAGCTGGCTTCGGGTATGCCAAGCTACTCGCCCCCCCTGAATGGGGTCTTCGATGGGTCGAGAATCGACTCAACCTCCTCAAGATTCTCCCTCACTATGTCAGCATCGACAAGACGACATATGGCCGATTTGGCGTTTTGCCCACGACCAACCGCCCTGGTCCCAGTGGCAGCGCGGCGACGGAGCTCGTTGGTACAACCCAGCGTCTCGGACCTTGAACGAGCGTACATGGTACGCGTGTACTTTTGTGTAACTGTAATGGTACGGAAGTGCTTGTTGAACGCTCTTTTTCGAATTGTACTATAGAAAGGGCATTTCATTTTTCGTGGAGTCTCTCTTGCGTTAGGGATTGGCGTAGCGATTAAAAGCAAAGGAATGAATGGACGTCCGGACGGGCTCATCTAGCTGGTCATGATCCTTTCTGCTATGAACTGTTTTAGGTATTATTATAATGGATGAAGCGATAATAAAGGTAGAGGATGAAGATTGTTTCAGTTGTCATGATGGTACATGCATTGGCATTTCTTTATGATGTATCTACTCTTGCAGTGAGGTCTTGATTCCATTATGATACCGTATGCCAGAAATAGGGGATAATTCATGTCTAGACACTATTATTGAAGTTCTAATGTTAAGCTTGATTCTAATCTCAACGACTGTTTGATGCTATAGCTCTCGATCGACATGAACCCCCAGTAGCCGCATAGACTGCCCCGCATTCACTGCAGGCGGCCCGCAATCCAACCCCTGAAGCCGGGGGGAGCTTCTATTTAATGGAAAGCTGTCATGATGGTACGTACCCTCTTCAATGATTGATCTCATTGTTTCCAAGAGGCTAAGCCAACGATAACCTCAACCTCAACTCAAGTATCGAGAGACCAAGTCTTTGATCACAAAGATATTGGCCAAACGATGTCGCGACTACTCTGTATGCAACCTTCTCTCTCATCCCCTATTCTGACCTTCGGCTGATAAGTTCTATAGCATCAGCGCTTTCGCTGCGTCGCGATCCTCGTATTCTAAAGCTTCCCCCTTATTTGTCCTTCATCTGCATCGCGATCGGTGTAATCTGGCTCTTTCTTCTCCCATTAAACGAATACTCGCGTCGAACGTACATCTCCGAGAATGCCCTGTTGCCAGGTCAAGTGCATACATATTTTGGAGGAAGCGAACAAAACATCTTCCGCGCCTACCGACATGAGGTTGACGATGTAGTCGACAAGAACAACTATGAGTGCGTCTTGAACTTGGATATGGAAGAACGCAACAATTACTAATACGATTCGGTGACAGGATCAACGACAGGCTCGATAAGATTCTCACAGGTGTTGGATTAAAGGTTGGACGTCAAAATTACACCTACCACTCAGCTGGCCATGAGTACTCAGGACAGAACCTCTACGCAATCCTGCAAGCTCCTCGTGGCGATGCCACTGAGGCAATTGTGTTGGTTGCTGCATGGAAGAATGTTGAGGAGCAGCTCAACCGCAACGGTGTATCTCTGGCATTGACTTTGGTCCGTTACTTTAAACGTGCGTATACCCTGAAACTTAAACCATGCGATAGACGCTGACAAGTATAGGCTGGTCACTCTGGTCTAAGGACATCATTCTTGTTGTTCCTCCTGATAGCAAGACAGGCACGCAAGCTTGGGTTGACGCATACCATGATGCTCATAACCCTGATCTTGTGGCTCCTTTGCCTCTCAAGTCCGGTGCTCTTCAGGGTGCCCTTGCTATTGACTACCCCCAAGAACAGAGTTTCAAGTCTGTTCATGTGATTTACGATGGCCCTAACGGCCAGCTCCCTAATCTTGATCTTATCAACTCAATCGTCAACATTGCTGGTGGTCAGATGGGCATTGGGACCTCTATTCAAAAAATGACGGAGCACAAGGGCACCTACCCTGATCGTTTACAAACTATGCTGCGCGGTATGCTTAACCAAGGCCTCGGCTACGCAGCTGGTGCTCACAGCAGCTTCATCCCATATCACGTTGATGCCGTGACACTTCAGCCTTACGGCGAAGGATGGCATGATGAGATGGCCATGGGACGCCTGGTTGAGGGGTCGTTCCGAAGTCTGAACAATTTGCTTGAGCACCTGCATCAGAGTTTCTTCTTCTATCTTCTGATGCAGACTGACCGCTTCGTCAGTATCGGCACTTATCTTCCCAGTGCTATGTTGATTGCTGCCAACTTTACCATCATGGCTATCTCTCTCTGGGTCAAGAGCGGTCAGTCACCAGCCATGCAGAAACCCAAGGAGAAGGCTTCTACCACATCTGTCGAAGCAACACAAGCTGGACGGGACCTGTTTGTTCCGCTTGGTGTCGTTGCTGTCTGTCAGGGTCTCGCAGCTGTGCCTTTGTACATCTTCAACCACCTTCCCGCTGGCGTGAGTGCTCCCCCAATATCATCATCTTCGAGTCTTATACTGATTACCTCTAGTTACTCTCGCCCACTTTTGCTGCATTCTCTGTCATCTCGGCTATCTTGCCCTTCGCGATCTCGCGTCTCCTAACCCTTGTCACCAAGCCCACGATGCAGCACTTCCAACTCACAAAGTCCTTCTCTCTTCTCGTTCTTGGCATGTGTCTTTCTACTCTTGCAACTCTCAATTTTTCTCTCGCTTTTCTCATCGGCGTACTCTCAAGCCCGCTCAGCTTTGTCCAGCCGGTCAAGAACCGGGGCCTTCGCTGGTCTCTAGCAGGTCTCCTTAATGTCGTGTCACCACCTACAGTTTTGTACGCAGCGGCCCAAATCTGGGACATCAGTATCGCGGATCTGTTGAAGGAGGCCAGCTTCGGCTGGAACGTCTGGGGCATGTATACACCCGTTGTGGTATGGTGCCTTTGGTGGCCAGCCTGGCTCGTGGGCATGGTCAATGTCTTCGGAGAGGTTACTGCTTGAAGAAAATTAGGGATTCGGACTGTAAAATAGGAAACAAAGCATGCATTGCGCCACCATAATGGTGGTTCTGATTTTTAGGTAATAAACAAGGGCACATAGATTAGGCGAAATTTAGAATTAATAGTCTTGACTTGGGCAAAAGATCATCATCTGCCCACAGTAAAGTTTCTATTCGTCTATACTGTACATTTGTTCGTTTTGATTGCCGTACGTTCCCTAGACCGTACTCCTGTCGAGAACTCCTCTACGCAGCCCACACATCCTTGCCAGCCGACTCAATCCAGTTACCGAGTTGGTTGACGCTCGAGTCCCAGTCAAGCAGTCGCTGGCGCATTGCGGCGATTTGCTTCATGTCGAGCACCTTGGGCTGAACCCAGGTGATTTGAGCAACGCCGTCCACTTGGTCAATAGTTCCTCGCAACAGACCTAGGCTAAGGGCCTTCATGATGAGATGCTCGATCTCTTCGGGTCGAACCTTGGTCTCCTGAGCGATAGTGGCAAAAGTGAGGGTGCGGTCGTGGGGAGGACGGCGGAAGACAGCCTCAGTCAATGCGGAAAGGTAGATCTTTTGTCGAAGATGCGTGGCGTTGTTCTTAAGAAGCTTGTTGGACTCGACGCGATCAGACAGCTGGTCATAAGCATCGAGGTCTCCACGGTTAAAGGCAAATAGCAGATCACGCATCCAGGCATGCTCGCTCTTGGCGAGGACGTCAAGGATGGGGTGGAGCAGGAGCTCTCCGAAGTTGTAGATGCTTGTTGAAACAAGGGCAGCAATGCTGAGATGGTAGGCTCTCTTGTGTCGCTCCTCAGGAGTCATTGCATTGAGGTCAATGCAGGCAAGGTAGAGGAGGGCAGTACGGTAGTAGTTGGAGAAGTCCATCTTGCGCTGAAGGAGGGGTCAGCGGGGCTCACCAAATACCCAAAGTCGAGATCAAGAACATACCTGGTAGTAGATGGCATTTGCATCATAGAAAGCAGCATGGACCACATTCTCTACAGAGTCGAAAGAGTCCAATATCCGCTCGGCTGTATCCAGATCCTTTCGCGCAGCATCTAGCTCCTCCAAGTCCAGCTTTGCTTGGGCGACAGCAACCAAGGCATAGACATAAGCATCCTGAGAGTTCTCGTTATCGACCTTCTTGGCCACTGATTGCAGGAAAGAAAGGCGCTGCTCGTCTTCTATGTCGTTCAAAAACCATCGGTCAGCAATCCGCCGGCTTCGGAGCATATTGCATTTAAATCTCACCTTCACACTCTGTTGCTGCCTTCAATGCTAGTTCCACAAGCTTCAATTGGTTGATCTTGTCGGCAAACTTGAGAATAAAGACTCTGTAGAATGGTAGTCGTTGAGGGGCGCTCTCGGGGTGGCTGAAGAACTCGACGAGGGCGTCAGTGAGCTGGTGCCAAAGCTTGCGCTCCCAGAAGTTCTCAAAGTCGAGAATGAGAGGTTGGAGCTCCTCGGGAGCTTCATCGCGCTGCTCGGCAAGAAAATCGGAAATGGTCTCGTTGCTCATGATGGCGGGCTTTGTATTTTATGTCGGTGGAATCTAAGTGTATGGGTGACGTGCACAGCAACTGAAGCTAGCTTGCCTGCAGCCTTAATCTGTTGGCGCGTACTGCTGCACCAACGCTGATTTTGCGAATTATGAGTCCCAAAAGCGTGAGAATGGACTATTCTCTATTTGACCGAGCTATCGTCAAGCGGCCGTCGTGATAATCGGTGAAGCTGGTATGTTTGTAGAGGTTGATAGTTGCTTCAGTCGAGTGTGGAGGGAGGTCCTTAGCTCATCAATGAGGCTACCAGGCAGCCTGGTCGTCGCAACGTGAAGGCGCACGGGCCATTTCGACCTCTGGAAGAGCACTCGAAAGGCGCTAACCAATGACAAGCTGCAAGATTTCAGTGACCCATCACGTGATCTGCGATCACCGTTCCCCGAGGCTCCAACTTGGCTAGCATCACCAAACACTGCTATCGAGACGACGAGACGTTCAACGGCCAATTGCGAGGCACAGCAGCGTTTTGTCACGCAATCTGTATATTCGCAACAATGGCTTCGCCTCTCTTTGCTGCGCGGGCGGCCCGCAAGGCTGCCTTCAATGTCGCCGGCAAGCGATACCTATCCGATATTTCCATTACTCGAACTGGCAAGCCTATCATGCGTGTTGAGGGAGGCCGGTAAGCTCAACCACGGCCCATTGACACTATTCGGATCTCCTCTAATGTTATTCCGTTTCTAGTTCATCCCTCGGAGGTACGATGATCGAGCTACGATGACCACGAACAACACTGACGAAAGGAAACCAGGCCATACTGTTACCGTATTTGGCGCAACTGGCCAACTAGGACGATACATTGTCAACCGACTGGGTGAGCCGACCTGAACCTGGAATTGGATAATTGGAATGGGCAATTGGAATACTGATACTGGCATTAGCCCGCCAGGGATGCACTGTCGTTATTCCCTACCGCGAGGAGATGTCCAAGCGTCATCTCAAGGTCACTGGAGATCTTGGCCGTGTTGTCTTCATTGTACACCTCAATTCGTCCCGATATGTTCAGGAACTTTCCAGTAACCCTCTTACTAGGAGCACGACCTTCGAAACACCCCTTCGATCGAGGCGAGCGTTCGACATTCCGATGCCGTTTTCAACTTGATTGGCCGCGACTATCCTACCAAGTACGTCAATATACAACGGACCAATGGACAGGACAGGAACTAAATGATTATCAGGAACTTCTCTCTGGAGGATGTGCACGTTGAGGGAACTGAGCGAATTGTCGAGGCTGTTTGCAAGTACGATGTCGACCGATATATCCACGTTTCCTCACACAGCGCCAACTCTCAGTCCGTCTCCGAGTTCTACCGAACAAAGGTTTGTAGATCGTCAGCTTGGTCAATGGAGGGAAATGCTAACAAACGAGCCAGGGTCGAGCTGAGGAGGTTGCCCGACAACTTTTCCCTGAGACCACTATTGTCCGCCCTGCGCCCATCTTCGGTTTCGAGGATAACCTGCTGCTGAAGCTTGCTGGTGTCACTAACCTCTTCACTTCCAACAACATGCAGGAGAAGTTCTATCCCGTTCACGTAGGTTTTTGCCAGAGTGCTTAGGGTCAACGTTACTAACCACCACAGTCTATCGACGTTGGTGCTGCTCTTGAAAAGATCTTCTACGACGACACAACTGCTGGACAGACTTTCGAGCTTTACGGACCCAAGAAGTACAGCATGGAGGAGATTTCCGTTATGGTTGATAAGGAGATTTACAAGCAGCGACGACACATCAACGTGCCCAAAGCCATCCTTAAGCCCGTTGCTGAGATCCTGAACAAGTTCCTTTGGTGGCACACTCTGTCAGCCGATGAGGTTGAGCGAGAGTACTTGGACCAAGTCATTGACCCTGAGGCCAAGACCTTTAAGGATCTCGGTATTGAGCCTGGTGACATTATCAACTTCACCTACCACTACCTGGTAAGTGCCCCAATCATGGTCGTGAAAGTCACAAACTGACACCCTTTTAGCAAGGATTCCGAAGTCAGAACTTCTACGATCTTCCCCCTGCGACAGAGAAGGAGAAGAGGGAAGAGAAGAAGTACATCCATGTCTTGGATGAGTTGTAAAGAAAATGAATTTTTTGCTTATTGCGAATGCTGGAAAGGCGGCTGGTGATTCACGGCTGAGCGGACAAGTCGACAATAGTCCGTGTATACAGGACCGCATAGACTAGAGAGTATGCGAGTTCGAACAATTGTACAGGTTTTCTTTGGGTCGAGATGATATCAGATAATATGAAGGTCGAGAGAATCAGTCCACATGTGGTTACCCTGTAGCTATCCATCATCATGCAGCTCTGATAGCGAGAGTCTAGACCGTCAAGGAAGCAGTGCAGTAAAGAGGACCCCGCCAAAACCCTCACACAAAACCTTCTGTCGCATCGCATCGAAGCGCCGAGTCTCCGTAATCGACCGTATATCAAAACCGAAAAGATACGTTTTGACGACAACATTCCGATGTCTTTTGATGATGAAGAGCCCATGTGAGAGATACAAAATATCCATGTCACACCAAGTTACAGGACCCAGTTTACTGACTTTGGCTGGTCTCCAGAAGCCTCTCGAGTCACGCCTTGGCCGCGCTGGCCGAGTTCCACGCCGAAAAGGACGCCCATGAAAAGACATTTGAGAAACTGAGGACCGGCGCCGCTCCGAGAGCTGGAGCCGGACTCGGCGTCGTCGAACCGGAAGACGAGGACCCTGTAGCGGAGGATGCGGACGACCAACCGCTGAGCATGGCGGCGTTTACGGAGGATTGGAACGAATCGCAGTTTTGGGTACGTAAGACGACATGCACAAAACAAGGCACAAGACGCTCCTCTCATCCAGTTGTCTTCCACCTTTTTGCTCTAGCGGTGGAGATAGATGGCATCGCGATCGGCTTCTGGGATAGAGTCTGTGCCTTTGCCTGTCTGAAGTTGGGGTATCTATTACGTACTTGGCTGGTCTTGGCGCTACAACTTCATGATATTGACATTGTGGAAAGAAATACTAACATGGGCCTGACGATCTAGTTCCTCGACGAAACAGCCTTTGCTCTGGCCGATCAGCTCCTCGATGGCGCATCGTCAAGCTCGATTATTGGTGTAGTCTCGACACCGAGCGTATTCATTGCACTCAAGAATCGTCTTGTAGGATCAACCCTGACTTCTGTCATGCCCAGGGCTTGATATTTAGAACCCAGAAACTGACTGGGACACAGAGATTCTGGCCTATTGAAGACCGACCTAAGCTGGTCTTGTTGGAACATGACCACCGTTTCAGCGTCTTTCCTGAGTTTGTCTTCTATGACTTCCAGCGACCTCTTCAACTCCCAGGTATGACCGCTTTACTAGTTGAATACTGCTTTTGGCATATACTGATATTATTGTCTCAGCTCATCTGAAGGGCAGCTTGGATAGTGTTATCATTGATCCTCCATTCTTCAGCAATGACTGCCAGACAAAGTGTAAGTAATGCTCACAATCGTCCTGGCCACTATCCAGATGCTACCCCATCCCGTATCACGATCTAAACCCTCCCATTTCACTACTGACATGTCACCCACTAGTTGCCCTAACAGGCCGCTGGCTCGTCAAGCCAAAGTCGCCTCGTGTGATTGTCTGCACGGGAGAACGAATGGCTACCATTGTCGACAAGCTCTACCGTTCTCTTGGAGTCTATGCGACAACCTTCGAGCCTGCTCACGCGGGTTTAAGTAACCACTATTACTGCTACGCCAATTTTGAGAGCTCAACCTGGGATTGGCGATCTGATGAATCAGATTAATGAAGTGGAAGTGGAAGGGGAGATATGAGGTGTTGAAATAAGACCCCCGCTGCTGGAACCGTCTCAAGGTCTTGGAAGAATACGCAAGACTGGGAAACATGACACAAGGTACGATGACTTATGGAATATCTGGGGATATGCCAAACCCAGTGAAGTTCGTCGCAGTTAGATAAAGAGATACATCTGAAGAGAGACCATGACCGCCCTATTCAGTAGGCTGCCACGGTGTAACTAAACTACATATATGCGCCGAGCAATGCTCCATACTGCGCTCAACCTGCAGTTGATATATGGACCCAGTCGACTTATTGATCATGATCATTAACGCCTATCTGGCTCTCCTAATCTAAACCCCCGTCGGCCTACAAGTACAAGATTGGGTGTCTAGGCCAGCGAGCGAATGATGTAGAAAAGGAGATAGGCCTGAGCCCCAAGGACGTCAGATAAGCTCGCCAACTCGACTTTGTGGTCATTAAACTTGAACCACTGAAAGATATGTCAGCTATGATACAGTGTCGTAAAGAATAAAATTTACCTGGTCGCCGACCCGACAGTATGATGTATAATGGCCAGTGTCGATTTCACCCACATGAACCACAACACTAAGGAGGTCATAGGTGCATGATCGCTCCAGCTCAAGGCTCTCACGGCTCTCGTGGTTGCGAACGCGATTGGTATAAGGCAGCATGTTGAGTTGGAGAGGGAATTTGACTTCATTGTCGACTTTTGACGCGGCACGATCGTGGCGGCCATGTCTGTACTCGAAGCGCTGTGAAAGAGTTAACTTGGCGGACCAACACTAACACTCACGAGCCACCGACTACACTCACCTTAAGCTGTATTGACAGAACGTTTGGCAGCCGCTTAATGCTGGTGTGTCGTTTGGCTTGTTGAGTCCCGTTGCAGTTGTTGCACCGATACTCACACTTGTCATACTTGATGTATTCTTCGTCCAAGCAATCCTGCAACGTTAGAGAAGGCTTCTTCTGACCAGTCCTCTTGCTCTTCTTCTGGACGACATTTTCGAGACCTAGACTTAGATCAAGGAACGACTGGATGGAATTACTCTGGCCTGAGCAATTCTGACATGTTGTTGTGGTCTGCATCTTGCCGTAGAATGTCTGATGCATGATACAATTGCAGCTATGTTCGCTGCCGATTTCCGGCTTTTTTCCATCACCATTTCGTTCATGAAGCTCTTCAGCTAAGAACTGGAAGAACTCATGAGCGTCTTGTTCTTTGGTGGTAACAAGATTCTCGAATGCCTTCTTCTCGGAGATCCAGAAACCTGACAAGATATTGGCAGCAGTATAACCGTTAGTGTTCTCTAGGGCGTAAAAATCTTGGAACATGTCGTCCATTGCACAGCTCAGGCAGTGAGGGACCTGGCAATCATTGCTCTGGTGACCATCGCTTAGGTAGAAGTTTCTCAGTAATGGGTTGTGCAAGAAGCTTTGGAGAACAACGTTCTGATAGCAGGTCGCACCGGCGTTGTAGATGCCGCGCAGGCCGTTTGCACGACAGGAGGCGGTTGTAGTATTGTTAGTAATATACCGAGGGTCATCCTTCATGGAGTCCGAGAAGAGCTCATTGTGTTTTCTCTTGCGACCTGGCCAACAGTTAATTTCAGGCAACAGAAAACTATCCACGAGCAACATAGCAGTCAAAGACACAGCCATTCCTTCTCATTCTGTATCGCGTATGGACGAGCCTTGACTTGATGCATCTCCGTGCACAATCGCTTACCAGAAAAAGAGCCAGTTCCTATCTTTCTCACTCGAAGCTCCTCGAGAGTTGGGTCCCAGACAAAATCGTCGCACATCTGACAATACAGGCAACCGCTCCGAGAGTCAACATCTGCGCCAGGGTTAGCAAAGGAGGCAGCAGAAAGCAGCAGCACAAGGCTACTAACAGAAACGATGCTGTTTCTTGGTTCCGTGTTTCAATCGATCTTCCTCAGACACGGTCATTGGACATTGTAGACAGAGGTAGTTCGAGGTAAGCGTTGTAACGGGTCGGCCCTCTTGTGTTGAGGTTTGGGGGACGATGGGTGTCGCATCGAAGATGTTGCGGAGGATTAACTTGTAGTGCGTGATCGAGCTGTTCATGACCTCTTGGTTCTTGCTGAGGAGGAGTTGTACATGCTCTAGAGACAATTAGACAATGATACAGACAGAGCTTTGGGTGGCCATACCACAGCCGAACATTGGTGATCCGGGGACCGGAGACTTCACCTTGATGTTTTTGGGTGAGGCCGGGGTTGTCGGTCGCCCAGACATTGTGAGGAATCAAGCCTTTGCGGCTAGCGTTTTGCTGCAGCAATTGAAGCTGGTGGTAGACGAATGAAGCTTGTTGATGCGGCTGGTAAAAGGGAGCTCGATTCGTGATCAAGCGGATGCGGCGAAGCGTTACTGGTACACTCGAAACAACCCCACGTATAAAGACAGGCTTGATTATTCGTTTATTCTTGATCGGTTCGTTGTACGTTCGTTCGTTCGTTTATTTATTCGTTCCTTTGCCTGGCGGGTGATGCGATGGCGTACAAGGCTGAAGAATGTACGCGAGGCACAGAGTTGCATGAATGTGCAACCAACAGCAAGCCGAAAGTCGGACAATTGATAGCCAACCTCTTCCAGCTGAAACTAAATATCGAAGATTAATAAACCGTAAGAGGCGAATGAGCGTTGAGAGATGGCCGCTAAGGAATTAAACAATAGAGATGAAAGATCAAACTCTGTTGCGCCTATTGATTGTTCCTTCAATTAATAGAATAGATTAAGTAAGTGCATGCATGCATGCATGGGTTGGATGGAAATAGAAGTGCAGGAGTGGTGTTGGAAGTCACTATCACTCACTGTAAGGTAAGGTAATTAGGAGAGATTACAACGGGTGCAGACTCCCTAGAACATAGTGTGCCGGGTACCTTTTGGTGTGAGATTGGCGGGTAGATACATCAAGTCATGGAGGCGCTCATGAAAATTATACCCATGTCATGCAGGGCGATAAGATAACCTACCTAGCTTGGCACTAGTCTCACCAGCTGAACCTCATATTAACCGCGACCAGGGCGCGTCTAACAGGTATATTAACTGATACTGCTGTAGTTGATAGTCACTTGAAGATAATTTTCACTGCATCTGACAACTCCATTATAGCATCTAACATGCAGTATCAGATAAGAGTATACCTAACACTCCTAGGATGTGCAAAGTGATGCCTATTACTGTATCTCCCTCCTACACGTCAATATGCACTAAGAAGAGGAGCACCGTTCGTGCCGAGGTTTATTCATTCTCCATTGAATAAGCAGTTTAGATTGCCGGATGACGACAGCCAGCTCCCTGTCTACCTCTGGTAGATCAATATCTTCTCCCTATTTCTCATCTTTCATCCTTAACCTACACAAACATCTTTGAACTTTGAGCTTATTTGACTAGAAACGGGGCTCAAAGTCTCCACTGTCTACCGAACTCCCGGCCCGACTTTGCGGCATCCCGGCTCCGGACCCCTCCCGACCAGCACCGATAGTTTCGCCCATACGGGTCTCTGGTCCTCCACCTTGAATATTACCAACAACTGGAGTACCATGGCAACTCAACTCATTGCTCTGCCAGCTGTAGAGCGTCTCAGTCCTACAGTCATCCGCATTTTGGGCGGCAATCCAGGCAAATTCACTCTTCAAGGCACAAACACATATCTTCTCGGTACAGGTCGTCGCCGGCTTCTCATTGACACTGGCGAGGGTCGCAATGCTTGGATCTCATCTATCCGCGAGACTCTACAGCAGGAGAATGCGACTATAGACACCGCGCTCATCACGCACTGGCATCATGATCATACAGGTGGTATCAAGGATCTCTTGAGCATCTCACCACAGACTGGAATCTTCAAGCACACTCCGGAGGAAGGGCAGCATGAAATTAGGCACGGGCAGCGCTTCCAAGTCGACGGCGCTACATTGACAGCAGCGTATACGCCAGGACATACAAAGGATCATATGGTGTTCGTTCTCGAGGAAGAAGACGCAATGTTCACAGCCGACAACGTCCTCGGTCAAGGGACTGCGGTATTTGAGGACATGGTCACATATCTACGAAGCCTAGAAGAAATGAAACCTCTGTTCAAAGGCCGAGCATACCCTGGACATGGACCGGTCATTGAGAATGGACCAGCAAAGATTGCCGAGTACATCGCGCATCGAAAACAACGAGAAGATCAGGTCATTCAGACGTTGAAAACGGGACCTGGTGAAGTGGAAACTCAAGAATCTGCATTGTGGTCGGCATGGACAGCGACAGATCTGGTCGAGGTGATTTACAAAGATGTGCCCCAGAATCTGCACCCAGCAGCTCGTGGTGGTGTTTTGCAGATACTGGGAAAGCTGGAGAGCGAAGGTCGCGTAGCTCATGATGGTGATGAATGGAAGCTGCTGGCAGATGGCCGGGCATCTCTATGAGTTCGGGCCACAGTGGATAATGGATGGGCCATAGTGAGTCAGTGGTGTATTTCCGAATTGCCGGAATATAGTTGGTATTCATCATTACCCCGAAAGGCCATTGTGAGGAACCGTGTTTTCTCGGGAATACGGACTTTTAAACAAGATGGACTGGGTTAGGTTTGTGGTATGATTTGGGCATGCCAAGAGCTGAGTTTTGTAGCAAGTTTGTATGGTAAACTAGCGAGATGAGGCAGGGCCTTCGGCAGCGTCGGATCATTCACATCATCCAAGTCTTGATGTGATAGATCTTTTAGCGAGCATCATGGATGGGATTCACTGACTGGTGGGGATCGCCAACTAGGTTCTGGTTTTGGGAACACACCCCTGTCCACTAACGCAGCCACTCTATCAAACAAACTAACGGTACTGGCCATGTTCTCAACAACTGGCATTGCTGCTGATGGTGAATTGTAAGCAGATCCTCTTGACACTGTAATGCTACAGCTTCAGTTCGGCCGATTGCGGAGAATGGCTAGGATGCAATGCAATGTTGTCACATCAGATCCCAAGCTCCCCATGCAAGTACAGTACAAGAGTTGTCTTTGGTGCATTGAGACTGCAACATTAAACCCGTCGTTTAGAGGTACGTTTCATGCAGTCACAAACGGTCCAATTTTGTCCGAATATCATACGACAGACCGTAAAAAGCAAGAGCTCGATGATACATGTTTAATCGTTTGATTACCTTACAGCCTCAGTACTCAAACTGCGGAGTGTTCGGGAGTAAATTTTGGCGTATGGCATACGTACAGACATGCGTATGCCTGAGAAACGGAGACAAGTTGACCACGAGTTACCGTTCTTGGCGAGATCATTGTATTCGCTCTTATTTGCTGGCTCGGGTTGTAACCCAAGATAGCTGACTCTTTTGGGTGTAATACACACGATGGATGCAAGTCAGCACCATAGACACGACAACTAAGCGGGCGGTGAGCCAGCACATCACATCATGAACGATCCGATAATTCTGTCCTAGATTGGAGTAGAAAATTGTCTGATCATGCACCTCTTCAACCGAGTTGTGTGCTGTAAAAGGTAGTAATTGGTCAGCGGAGGGGAACATCTAGGGTAATCTGATATCATGGTGGTACTCCATAACCGTTCAACTTGAGCAAATATTCCTTCTCATGACCCTTGTATCTTACGCCCGGCTTCAGGTCCTTCCTTGTTCATGAGCATGGTTATGTGACGCCTTGTGACCATTTTGACAGCTCGAGGTTGGTGGGTTGTGACCCTGTTTAATGGAATGCGTCTGTCTGTCTGCTTGACCGGCACCATCGGGTCCACGGAGACGGAGATAATGATAAAGCCTGAAAATGCCGTAAGGTAGATAGTCTAGTGCCCAGACCTACAGTTGCAGTTACATTTCTTGATCTTGATCAGAGATCAGTGATTGCCAAGACACGTCGGTATGAGTCATCCGTAGTCATCGATGTCGATGAAGGAAGTTTCCGTGAAAAGTTCCCGCTCGGCTAGCACAGACTTATCAAGTGCATGTAAGTCAAAGACACGCACATGCAGTAAGGCGTATAAAGCGTATCTAGTACATATAGTACGCTGTAGATGTGTACACTTCTTTGCCAGCCCTAAACGAATATTTGACTACACTACACGTCATATCCAGCCTTATCGTTTACACTGCACAGACGTAAAAACTTTGTAAGTCAAAGAGCTGAAGAGAAAGTGTGCGGAATTGTCGGCGTAGTTGGGTTGAACTTGGGTGGAGATGCTGGACCGGGATTATACACATCAAAAAAGTTGAAGCCCGCTGTATCCAATGAATGACGCCGTAGCTTTATTTCACAGCGGGATGAGGTAACTAGCGTCGAAGCAGCCGGCATTAAAGCTCTCCATGATGCATGATGATGCCTGTAAAGACGAAAGCTCTCATGTGGATTTCGGCATTTTGCTCGATATCAGTCTGTGCTTTGATGTCAATGATGGAGGCCTAACAAGTCGGTTTTGAGTAATGGATGAGAAGCCACAGTTAGTACGTGTAGAGCTTATGACTGAATATTCGTAATTCACTGGTAAGCCAGTGACTGACTGCCCGTTTATCGGATCCGAGTTGAGGTGCATGTAATGGTGGTAGCCAAACGTGGTGAAGGGTTGCGATGCTTGCAGCAAGTTACAACACACAAGTTCTTGTGACCAGTAACTAATGATCTCTATGCTCGGTGAGAATAGGAATGGAAGAGGATCCATCCATGGCCCGTGATATCCACTTCGTCTCCGACGAAATGCCTTGACGTTCTTCGAGAAGATGCCTTTTCCAAAGTTTCCGTGCCGATCGATCGATCACGTTGACCATGAACGAACTAAAAAGGTAACTATTCGGAACCAACAGATCCTCAAAGTAAGTAAAGTAAAGTAAAGTATAGTACAGTACATGGGGCCCGCGGACCACGTTGATCAAAGAGCCTGACCAGATGATCTGGTGCATGTACAGTGACCTCTACGATACAGATACAGTGGTGTAGTCTACTGAAGATGTTCCCCCCCCCCCCACCGGCCGGCCCCATTTGAGGATCCCCCACTATCCAAATGCTTACCGCATCTTTTTTTTTTGTTGTGTTGTTTTTCTCTGTCGAAAGGTAAAGGTACAACTTCCATGATGAAGCAATTCGGAAGCTTCGGATGGTCAACTGCTGCGTATCCTCTCTTGGCTCTCGTCGCTTTGTCTCCGACTGACCAAGAGATTCCAATGCCTCAGCCCATGACCTGTTTTCGGCCGCTCGGGCCCGACAGTAATAATAGAAGAGGGTTTGTTTTAAAACAATGCCATGTCATGATTCCTTGAAACACTCTTCGTTTTGACGTCTACTTGATCGCATGATTATATAAGTCCTCCTACTTGTGTCTTTCTGGCTGTAAACAAGTATAACTACTGCTTGCGACCTCTTCTCGTCCAGTTATCTTGTCTTGTCTCGTTGCATCTGTTGTTTCCTTCTGCGGACAAATCTTTCTGGGCGTACTTTGCCAGTATGATCTATACAAAAATGATATCGCGCGCATCCGGCGCATTGCTTCTGGCGCTTTTACCTGTGGTAATTGCGCATGGTGGTGGTGAAAGTATGGACATGGACATGGGAATGGGCCATGACGGCAACACAACGACACAACCGCCCAAAGACGAGGACTATCCCGATACATACTTTGCGCATACTGAACATACTGGAGTTGTATACACACATATTGCATTAATGGTTCTTTCTTGGGTATTTATTCTACCAATTGGTAAGTTTTCATGGTGTTGAGCTTTATGCGCCGACTAACACGACCAACCCCCCAGCCGTCATGTTCTCACTGGCGAACTCTCGCTTTACACTACCGGCGCAATTTGTTTTCCTAGCTACAAATGCCCTTGGAGTCTTGACCGGCGTGATATATAATGCGCAGACCCCAGACTTGTATCCAAACAATGCGCACCACAAGATTGGCTGGATTGTGACCTGGGTCCTTTGCGCCCAGGTCCTTGTAAGTGCCGTGGGCTGTATCGCGGGAGCTCTCAAGGGCAAAGGAAAGACGTCGAGTAACGAGAGACATGCTTTTCTACCTGTCGCGACACGAGAGGCCGACTACTCTTCGCACAATGGCTACCACAATGACAGCCCCTACCGAATGTCCAGCGACAGTGGACGACGAACCGAACCAAACACACCATCGCTTCGAAGCGACTCGGCATCCACTCTCAATGGCATGGAGTCGCCTGTCAACAACCCCAGGAAGGAGTACGAGGACGATGATGGTGACCTGGAGGAATTGTCACTAGCCTCTCCTGAACCTCAGGGAACCTTTGCTCGCCACGCCTCCAAGATCGCTGCGTCGCGAGTATGGAAGTATCTCAACCTCGGCCGTTGCATAGTCGATCGCATTATCCTTCCTTTCGGTTTCATTGCGCTTGCGACTGGTGTTGTCACCTTTGGCCGTTTCTTTGTAAGTTGCTAGCAGATACCTTGGTTGCGACACTTGACTAACAAATCGTCCAGGAGGGAGGCGGAATCTTCAATGGATTGGCGCATTGGATCAAGGGCGGTGTTTTCTTCTGGCTAGGTATCTTCACCCTCGGTCGCTGGACTGGCAGCTTTGGAGAGCTTGGCTGGGCATGGAATGTTCGACCAAGGAAGAACTCCCAGAAGTGGCGCCCTTCCGCTGAGTTCGTCGAGAGCTTCTTGATCTTCTTCTATGGCGCTACCAATATCTTCATGGAGCACCTCGGCGGTTGGGGAGGAGACTGGACCGCCCAGGACATGGAGCACATCTCCATCACAGTTCTGTTCATTGGAGGAGGCTTGGTAAGTCCCACGATCTGCTCCAGTCGATTTCCCAAAGCAAAAACTGACTTGTTTCTTTAGTGCGGCATGCTCATCGAGTCGACACGTATTCGCGATCTTCTCAACACAACCGTGGACGAAGTTCAACCCAAGAGCCCTTACACGGTCGAAGAAGCAAACGAATCTGAAGCTCCCGACACATACGAGTTCTCGCTCAACCCCATACCAGCTTTGGTCATCATGCTGCTTGGACTCATGATGAGCTCCCACACACAGCATACCATGATGTCTAGCATGGTTCACAAGCAGTGGGGTGACCTCCTTCTAGGGGCTTCCCTTGCTCGAGGGTTGACCTACCTCATCATGTACCTGAAGCCACCCAAGTCCATTTTCCCATCACGACCCCCGACGGAACTCCTGGCTGCTTTTGGATTGATCGCTGGAGGTATCGTCTTCATGGCTAGTGTATGTCAACCGCCCTTGCAAAAAGATTCGAAAAGCTAACTTGACCTAGAGCACTGATACTGTCGACGGAATGATCCACTACAAACTCGACGCCATGTTCATGTACACTGTCACCATGGGCCTGGTCGCCCTCCTGATGGCTTGGGTCGTTATCGTCCTCGCCATCAAGGGATGGGCTGTCCGACTCGAACGACGCCGTAACTCGAACTAGACCGTACATATGGACATACTGATGAAGGAATGACATACTGCCGTACTTCGGCACGGGTGGGAGACAGACGTATATATAGATTGATTGTATTGCGCGCTTGATGTAGTGTTGACTCTGCTTTGAGATACCCTTATGAAGTAACGGCCGCTAATTGACCTAATTTCTGAATCTGACTTTCCCCTTTTCACTGGGTTGATACATACGCTGTGGCGTATTGGGGTGCAGTGTCAAGCGTTCTTGGTGTCGATAGAACAGCTTTCTGTCTGCCAAGAAAAACGCCATCCTTGTGATTTGACATATCCTTGTCTCGTGGGAAGTGGTGAAGAATGGCTTTCACTAATCCACAGGTTGCAAACGAGCGGATCTGAAATGCTGTCGTGCGTTCACGTAGTAGACTGAAATGATCTGGACTGCGTATATACAGTCTGCTCAGCATCCCCGTCCTTGGCCTTTGGTGCAGCAACCACTCTCTTCTGGTCCTCAGGAGAGAAAAGGCCCGCACCCTGTTGCAGAGCGTGAACAAGGAAAGGGATGGAATCGGCCTTGAAGTCCTCCGCGTTGCGAACTTTGTCAAGGTCCTCTGAGAGCTCTTGTGTTGCGCGTTGAAGGTAGTAGGAGGTAAACTCCGGAGAGGACTGGTTGGTAGGCTTTGAAGACATTTTGATGTGTTTGATGGAGAGTAGCCGGATTCCTTTGATTTGACTAAGGTAATCCTAGCGATGTTGGCTGCTGGGGTTGAGACTCTCGAAAGGTTCACCTTGGTCAGAAAGACTAAAACTTGAACTAGCAAATTCTTAACAGTGCGAAAACAAGAGTACATGTCATGAGCACTGTGCCTACCTCTCATGACTTCAACATGATAGAAGCCATGATACAGAGTAACTCGAAGCATATAGATAAGTTTGTCAGTTCTCTCAGTCAATCGAATAGAACAACTCGAGACGAATGCAGCTCCTGGTACGATAGGGTGACAAGCCACGAACTTGTGGTATGATAGATGGAGATCTCACAACGCAATGCATGAAGAATTGGTACAAAACCCAGTGCGCTCTGGGTTGCTTTTAGTATTTTATGTTCTATCAGTGTTTTGACATCTAAGATCACTCTACAGTGAAGCCTGTCTACCTAAAAAGGTCTGGGCTGAAACTCCATAAAAAAGATAATGACCTTCCAATATCGCTAATCCACAATAACGCCCTGCATGCCTCGTGAACATGAATCATTAAAGACACACAGCTGATAACTTAGTGAGAAATGTACTGGAACACGGCAGAAACCTCGGACTCTCCACATTCTTGCCTCAAGAGCAAGTCCTGGATGGGCTTCAGTCCCTCGTTGACAAAATGATTCCATGTGCTGGTATCACCATACAGCATGGCCGGCGCCTTGATATACTGCTTGCCATCAGGCTTACACCGCTTGCACTTGAACGTCTCATGAGTGTCACTCTTGGTATCTGGCCGGTACTGGAAAAGCTCACGGAGACTGTCGAGCGAGAAATGCCGTTCAACATCTTCCGCCGAGTCCACAACGCAAGAAGACAAACTTTGTTTGTGAGACTGGCGCTGGAAGATCTTCTCCTCGATAGTGCCCGTTGCGATGAAGCGGTACACGAAACAGTCTTTCTTTTGTCCATCGCGCCACACTCGAGCAAGCGCCTGTTGGTCAGCAGCCGGGTTCCAATCGGGGTCGAATAGCACAAGGCGGTTCGCGCCGATAAGGTTGATACCACATCCACCAGCCTTGCTGCTTAGTAGGAAGACGAATTCGTCACCTTCAGGGTCGTTGAATCGATCGACAAGCTTCTGACGCTTGTTGACGTTCATGGTTCCATCGAGTCGCAAACATCCATACTGACGAGAGCGGCACATTCGTTCAAAAAGATCCAGTGTCGAAGTATAGTTGCTAATCAACACAATCTTGTCGTTTGTGTCTTGGCGGATGCGAGCCAGCATGCGGTCCAACACTGCCATTTTGCCTGAATACCAGGACTTGATCTCGCGATCTCGACCACGGGATTCCTTGGGTACATAGTCGTCTGGGAAGCACTGCTCTGAGCCCGGCAGATCATCCGCCATGTTCAAAAGATCAGGATGGTTACAGAGCTTCTTGAGAATGTTGATGGCTTTCAAAGGTTGACTTCCCTTGCCTCTCAGGAGAGCCTGAATGTCAGGACTCTTGATGAAGTAGTTGTAGAGGTCAAACTGGAAGGGTGCAAGATTACAGAACACAACGTGCTCGTACTTGACAGGCAAGTACTTGGAAAGGATGTCGTTAGTACGGCGAATCAGGAACTTGTTGACAACATTGAGCAATGCCGCAGTGCACTCATCGCCCTTCTTTCGATCTTCCTCTGACGCATCAGCATCTCGGCCTCGTAGAATTGGGATTTCGTAGCGTTTGCGAAACTCCAGCCGTGTGCCAAGCAGATCGGGGTTTGCAAAACTTGTGAGCGAGAAATACTCCGTGAGATCATTCTGGATGGGTGTGCCTGTAAGAATGACACGCCGCGAAACATTGAGACTGTTGAGAGCATTGAAGGTATTGCTGTCGCTATTCTTGAGGCGATGGCCCTCATCACAGAAAAGCAGGCCGATCTTTGTGTGCTTCAGTTCCTCCACGTTCAATCGCAGAGTTTCGTAGGAAACAATGATAACTGGCCTGGTGACGGCCCGACCGCTAGCAATTGCCCACTGTCGAAGCTGACGCGTCAGTTCTTCTTTAGACGCCTTTCCATCAATGGCGAATGGGTTGATGGCATTAGGACCAAGCCACTTCACCAACTCGTTGGCCCAATTCTTGACCAAACTGGCAGGACAGACAACGATTGCTTTCTGAATTGTCGGCTTTCCAGCATCGGGGGATTGCTTGAGTAGTGTCCACATCAGAGAGATGCACTGAAGAGTCTTTCCCAGACCCATTTCGTCGGCCATAATGCAGCCATTGGCCTTCTCATCAATCAGGCCAGTAACACATCGATACATAAATTTGACACCTTCGACCTGATGGGGACGTAGGATCTTGGCCAGCTTCGGGTCAATTACGACTGGAACGCGAGGGTGTTCGCCATCCACTTTCTTCTTGATTCCGAGAATCTCAGCAAGACTCTTATGTACAAGTGGAGCGTCAAGTTTCCCATCAGCAGTCTCTGTCTTGGAGGGCTCAATTGCCTTGGGGACATCTCTTGGTTTGTCGTCGACAGTCGGATCATGAAGAACAATTGCGAATTCGCCACTGGGGTCGTGTAGAGGCTTCGCAATGAAGACTGCACCTTGCCGTAGACCCAGAGTAGGAGGGGCACGATTGGGATTGTATGCAGCGCTGTCCTTGTTCTTCAATGGCACAGAAAAGGCCTTGCGGAAAACAAGACCTTTATCTTTGGCCTGGAAAACGGGGAAACGGTTGATATCTCGAGTGGCAAGCGCAAGCCTGTCATCGTTGGAGTATGGTTTATCATTATCTGCTTCGCCGTCGGCACCACCATAATCAACCTTTCTTCGCTTGCGGGACGGTCGATCAACAGCCGTACTTCTTCCAGCGACACCAGGGCATTTGAATGGTTTGTGAAGACGGTCAATTGAAGAGGGCGTTGGCATCCGCTTGCCTAGAGTTTTGTCCTTGCCAGCAAGTGGCGTCGCGACGAGAGGGGACCTGAATTGAGTATTAGAGCATGCAACAACGCGCCAAAGTGTCCTGACACTCACGCTGCTCCCATCTTGAATATTCTCTCGTTTCAGAGACTTATCAAGTGATTGTTCCAAGTGTGAAAGATTTCTTGCCACCCCAGCGAGAATCAATGGAGGGTAAATAGGCAAGCGCGATGTCAGTGACTCGACGCGACAGCAGGCAGAAACACGCTATCACGTGAACCGCCACTAGCTTTACCTCCTCTTACAATTGCATCCCTGGCAAAGACCCCGAAACCACCGAAAGCTTGGACTTAAAACTTAAAGCCTCCACTAGCTTAGGTAACATTGGATCCATCGGGAATCGGTCGAAGAATCAAGTTTGTCGTTCGGTTCATGATGGGACCGAAACTGGTGGCAAGGAATATATCTTCTCCTTTTCTCCTTTTCCCCTTATACAACTCACTCGGTAAAAAACCAGCCAAAGATGATAACTGAAAGCCTATTTGCTGCAACGTCGTCAGGGTAGGTCACCGCGGATCATCTACTTTCTCAGTATGCGGCTCTGAAAGACCCTGGATCGCTAACACATGCCTTCAAGCGTCAATCTCTCCAACTCCGATCAAAGCCGATCGGTCGGTGGAGATCCTTTTGCCGACCATCAATCCTCTGGACCGACCCCTCTTCAAGTAGCAATTGCACGACATCGCACTGGAATTTTGACTGCAACCGTTGCTGGACACTTTGCGCATTGGCAATATCTTACGCGGTTTCGTCGAATTAATGTCCAGGCTACTGCGAATCGAGCTCCTCTTGCACGGCTCGGTTTGGCCTGGGGCCTCGTATACCTCGGCGTCTTGAGCACTATCACTGTGGCTCAGCGCAAAGTGTCAAAGAATACTGATCCTCTTTTCTCGCCTATAGAGTCTACAAAAATAGTCTCATAATGTCGGCTGATTTCTGGGCTGGCTATCTCAGTGGTGCTGTTGGAATCATCATCGGAAATCCTCTTGATGTGATCAAAGTTCGACTTCAAGCACAACATACCAGTCCAGTGACGAACCCGCCTGTTGGTTCGATCCCTACAGGAACAACAGCAGCGGCTTCAACCATCAACCAGAGTGCATCTTTCAGCACGCGGTACCTCGGATCATACGCCTCCTTGGTGACTGGAACTGCAGCACCAATTCTCGGTTACGGTGCGCTGAACGCCTTACTCTTTGTTTCTTATAACCGAACCGAGGCGGCATTAAATAGCGTATTCTCAACATCTGGAAACTTGTGGAATACCTGGCTTGCTGGGGCGGTGGGCGGTCTTGCAACTTGGGTCGTTAGCACCCCCACCGAACTGATCAAGTGCAGGGCGCAGCTGGCATCCTCTCCAACCTCAAGCTGGGCTATCACCAAGGATATCTGGAAAAAAGAAGGTGCTCGAGGTCTTTACTTCGGCGGAACTGTGACTGCTATCCGGGATAGCGTTGGTTATGGCTTTTACTTCTGGTCCTACGAGCTGACTACCCGTTGGCTGGCCACGGAACAGGGCGAAGAAACCTCTTTGCAACACGAGGCCGCCAAAGTTCTCCTCTGCGGAGGACTAGCTGGTGTCGCAACTTGGGCGAGCATATTTCCACTCGATGTTATCAAGACTAGGGTTCAGGCACAGACCCTTGGCGGACAAGCAGAAACAACACCCCTTCTGCAACCCAACGTAGCGTCACAAACCAAACGGGCTGGCGCAATACAGGTCGCACGTGAGGCGTACCGGGAGGGAGGCTCTCGTGTTTTCTTTAGAGGGTTGACTGTCTGTAGCGTGCGAGCTTTCATAGTGAATGCTGTCCAGTGGGCGGTTTACGAATGGGTCATGTTCGAACTCGGGCATGGACGGAAGAAGACAGTGGCCAACGAGCCTAGGGTAGAGATGGTACAAACATGATGCATGAGGTCTTCAATGTGCTCAAATGAGGACCAGACCATTGCGGCAAATCTTTGTAATGACACCATGCCATGCAGTCGGATATTCAGCATCGACCCAGCTTCCAGGCAATCTGCCACGGCCCTGTCCACACCCCATCATGATTTTTGTCAGGCGACCATCAATTTTCCGATCAGGACTTACGAGCTGCGCAACACATTCCCAACCCCTAGCAGTAATTGTACCTTCTTGCTGCTTTATGCGGGCAACGTTGGGCGCTTCGTGATGGATGACAAATCTGGATCACTCAGACGAGCCATGGCCAACTTGACGAAAAAGAACTCTGGCCACACGGCCCGCCAACAGCTAGGTGAAGGGCAAGGGCCAATGTCATCTGGGAAGCCGGGAAGTCTGTCTGTGATGCAGATGAAAGGGACACATCGTCAATCGATCAGTACAATCTAATACTACTACAAATCGTCTCAGAATCGTTCCAAGATATTATTTGGTGAATTTAGCCATTACTCCAATCCTAACGCACAGAAAGTTAACCTAGTTTTCGCCCTCTTGATCTTGAATAGGATACCTGGGCGCCTTTAATCCATGTTTGTTACCAACTGCTGCTCACTAGTCTCAAACAGTGCTGTTTTCTTTGTTGGATGGCTTGACCTCACGCCAACCTTCAAGCCCTGCCTTGTCTTTCCACTTTTGGGTATCCTCGTTGTATTGCTCCAACCATTTAGCCATGGCATCACTGGCCTGTGCAACAATGTCTGTTTTCGCTTGGCGCGCATCTGCTGCAACCCTTTCGAGTTTCTTGTTTGAGTTACTCCCGATCTGCTCGTCGCGCTCCTTTCTCTTCCTCTCCCGGTCGGCCAACCATTCTTTCCTCCCAGCCAGATATTTGGCGCTGTGTCCTAAACCAGCACTTTCGTGGGAGATGCCCTTGTGGGGTCTGTCGAGAGGAGGAGCAGTGAAGAAGAGAACTCGGCCAGAACTGTCATGTTGAAATGACTCTCGCAACTCCTTTGGCATCGCATCGTTCATATTGTCGGGAAGTGCGTAGACCTCTGGTGGTCTTGGTGGGTTATACACATTGCCACCCTGCATAGGCATCCCTGGTGCAGCCGGCATTGGACTGCGAGCGACTGGAGTGGCCTGCACTTGGTTGTATGCCTGGGTCATGTGGTTTGGCATAGGTGTTTGCTGATGCATAGGAGGCACCGATTGCCCATAGTTAGGGGCGAATCCTTGTGCATATCCTGCCTGTGAGTGCTGAGGTTGGTGTTGATATTGCACAGGTCGTACAGACACTTGAGGCTGAGCACCCAGGTGAGGTTGATGTGGAATAGGGACTGGAGTCTGTTGAACTTGTGCTGGCTGGGCGCCAGGAGTGACTGGCTGAAAGTGAGGTGTCATGTGAGCATTGTATGGAACGGGCGAAGGTGAAGGACCTCCAGGATAGGATATTGAAGGATGTCTCCCGGAATGATCACTAGGAATGCCACCAGGCACTGACAACATTGAAGCGCGCCGGCCAGAATCAGCGCCAGCATCAGGTAGTGGGACCGCCGACATGGCTTGTGGCGGAGGGGTGGGCACTGGCGGTGGTGATTCCTAGAAAGTTATGGTTAGTTGATTAAAGTGAGACGAAAGAAAGCCTGAGGCATGCATGAATCACGATCAAGAATCAGGCGTTGAAGCTGAGAAGGAAAAAAAGGCGTTGGCGGGCAGGGATTATGTAGGGCGTTCGTTTGCTGATAACGAATACATCGATGGCCAGCCGAGTCATGGCATGGCATGGCAGGACAGAAGAAACGAAAGAACAGATGCGCTTCACTTACATTGGCCTCCCGTTTACGGCGATGTACGGCTCCAACAATAGGCGGGGCATTTGGGCTTCCCCATGTTGGCTTGGGGAGTTCATCTGTCTCCTTTGCATCTTCGCGGAGCAAATGCTTAATAGGGCTGGGAATCTTCTTCATGCGCCGAGGCACATCAAAGAGGTCCATTTCATAGTCCTTGTCGCGTACCTCGTCTGGGACACAGCTTGCCCACGTCTTGATCTTGTTGAATGTGAACTTCTCCTCGTTGTAGCGTGATTCACACACATAAATTTCCTTGTCCAGAGGAAATCCTCGAGGTCGCCCTTTATTGAATCGGGTCACGAACATGACAAAGCATCGGTCCAAGACCTCTTCAATTTGATGATCCCGATATTGACCTGTCTTGACGACTTCATGCTCGAAGAAATGCTTCTCATATCGATGTACAGTCTGTTCTGGTCGGTAGTACCAGCAGGCATTGATCCATCTTTGGCCGGCACGGTCTTGCCAAGTTCGATAGATTTGCGCCACGGTGGGCTTGGCCAGGTCGTTAGGATTTCTGATGTGAACCCAATCACCTATATTCATGTTAGCGGCGTAACAACACTGGAAACGCATTACACAGTGGTATCTCTATGTACGTACCGACTTTCCAGGACTGCCCGTTATGCTGGATCTCTGCCAACGGTAACTTGCCGTCTTCGTCTCGGAAATCATCATCAGGTTTGGCCTTCTCCTGTTCGGCTAAAAAGATAGCCTCCTTCTGTAGCTCAACCGCGGCCTTGTACACTTCGCTGTCATCCTCATTATACCGCTTGGCATTCTCAAACATGAGATTGAGGTCCTGAAGAACATGGTCGATGCTTTGATACTTCTTCCGCTTGGCCTTTTTCTTGATGTTGTCGAGAGCGATGGGGTTTAGTATCGTTGTATAGTAATCGGGTACAGCTGCTTTGTCTGGTAGCTTCTCAAAAGGATGAACAAGGAGATTTCCTGCATCATCCTTGGGCTTTCTCAATCCCTTCAATAGTGAAGCGATGCGGGCTTCGTTCGGCGTAAGAACACTAGGAGGTCGGCCTCTTCGTTTGTGCGAATCATCTTCGTAGTCTTTGTCCTGATCTCTTCGACCAGCGCCACGTCGTCTTCGTCCCCTGCGTCGGCCGCCTTCATCGTCTGAATCATCATCTTCATCCTCATCTTCTTCTTCATCTTCATCCTCCTCCTCTTCGTCTTCCTCGTCTTCGTCGTCATCCTCTGCTGGTGGAGACTCTTCCGCAGGTGGTAATTCGCCCAGATCTGGCAACTGCGCATCATTGGCATTGATGTGGCCCTTTTCTACCAGCTTCTTGAGTTCTTGGACAAGAATTTCCCGAAGACGAACTGCGGCACCGAAAATAGGAGCGGAGGGTCGGTTGTAAACTTGAGCGTTGTGACAGATTTGCGCAACATCCTTGACGAACTCGGCAAATGAGCTGTATTGTTTCTTCTGAGTTTTGCCCTATCATTTTGGTCAATGATCCATATACCAGCTACCAAGACTGCATAAAACCTACTCGGATGGTACTGAAAGCAATGGGTTCGGCGATGATTTCGAAATAATCGGGCAACGTCCGTCTATTCGGGATGCGCTGGAAGCCAGCAGCAAGCTGCTCGCCACTATAACTCTGTCAGAATCACCCAATCCTCTCCTGCACTCGAGAGGGGAAGCATACTCATCCTGAACGCTGCATAGATAGGTCGAGAGATTATGGATCAAGCGATACATATCGGGACGGCCTTCATCGTCCACCTCACCTTCTGCGTCCTCTTCACCTTCGGCATCTTCGTCACCTTCCGCGTCCATATCTACGTCAGGGTCGCCTTCGGCATCGACATCATCGTCCGGTGTATCCTTCATCTCGACGTCCACGGAGGCAGTTTTTGCTTCTATAGATTCGCGCACCTCTGGCGCGTTCGCCCTCCGACTGGACATGACAGGCTCGTGAGACCACTCGGGTCCGGTCGCAATGCGGCAAATCGAGGCGTTAACGGCGCGTACTATTCGCGTTGGTCAAGTTAATCTATATTGTGGTATTCAGTTGCTGAGACGGGTTGTACTGCGAAATCACGGCAGCGGGAGGAAGCTGTAATTAAAGAGTGCCTGTGTACTATTCCTGAGCTTGATTGAAAGTGCGACTGCCCTGGAGAGCGCGTGCATTTGCGCGCGACTTCTCGTGCCGTAATTGGTTAGAGTGGTTGTGCATTTATAAAAGCGGGTCCCAATTGGCTGGCACTTGACACATGGTTGTGATGTTGGTGCCGGCTTTCATCCAGATCATTGATTCAGTCAGGCTCGATTTAGCCTTATTGTTTCTGTGATTCATATACACAAATTTGAATATCTATCACTCAAGCTCAGAGAATTCTCGTGTTGTGGTTCCAAACCCAGCTTAAAACGGATTCAGTGCCTCACTTTCCTGTTGCTTCCTTTCAATTCCTCGCCTCAGAGTAAAGCAGCCCCTCCCTCACCCATCTCGAACAAGTTTCACCCAAGCACATTAATCACCCACTATCCGCAGCGAGAAAACCCAAGAAATTGTCATCTTACATTGAATCTTGCACCTAATCACAGTCATGCGAGCTCGTTATAAAGGTCCAGCCGGTACCGGTATCCTCGAGATACCCGATGATGCCACTGTTAAAGTGCTATTTGATGAACTTCGAGCCAAGACAGGAATTACCAACTTTGGCATAAAATATGGCCCTCCTATGGCTATGAAGGCTCTTGAAGCTAGCCAAAGTGATCAAATTGCTCGATCTCTTGGTCTTCATGGTGAGACACTCACTATCGTACCCGAGGACGTACCACCACCCGCACCTACTGCGCCGCTTCAAACTGGCGCTGCGCAATATCAAGCAATGACATCTCGTGCAGCAAAACGGAATGAGAGCCCAGAGGATGTCAACGTTCCGTGGCCAGAACAGGGTGGAACACTACGTAAGTGATAACCTTTTGTTAGCCTCCAGAGACTATTGTTGTTAACGGCATGTAGTTCTAAGAGTGATGCCCAGCGATAACAGCTGTTTATTCACAGCTTTTGGTGGTGCTCTGCAAGATCAGATCCCCGCTCAACGGTTGAGAAGGATGATGGCTGACTACATTGTTGAACATCCCGAGGATTACTCAGAAGCTGTCCTCGGTAGCCCTGCCAGCCAATATTGCCGCAGTATTCAAGACCCTGACCGATGGGGAGGCGGTATTGAACTGAGCATCTTATCCTCCATCTTCGATATCCAGATCTGCACGTTTGATGTCCAGGTTAGTCGAAATGTTATTCTGCACCGCTCCTCACTGACATTGAAGATTACAGGCCCAAAACCTGATCAACTTCGGAGAGGATAAGAGAGATCGCTGTATTCTTGTTTATTCAGGAATTCACTATGACCGAGTTGCCTTCAGCCTGTCTGACTACCCACATGACTCGCCTACTTACCCCCCTGAGATGGATCGAACTGTTTGGCCGACTGATGACGATGAGGTACTCGAAAAGACCAGAGAGCTCGTCGAGAAGCTCAACAAGGCGCACTACTACACTGATACGGAAGGACTGATTCTCCGATGTGATGTGCCGGGATGTGACTGGATAGGTAGCGGCCAGCGTGAGGGACAGAAGCATGCAGAACTCACTGGACACGTGGATCTGAGTGAAATCCAAGACGAAGGTGACAATGTGCTCCGGAAGTGCGACACACCTGGATGTGATTTCATCGGCCAAGGTGACAAGGTTATGAGGCAGCATAGTGCAGATACTGCTCATGAGAGATTCTCCATTATTCCGGACTGGTGAGTGGGCACTGACAGAAACATGAAGCCTTCGGTGCTCTTGGTCCTTCTAGACATTTCAAGTAGTTTGTTGAGTTTTTGAACATAGTTAGCGCTTCGAACACCGAAACAAGACATTGCTTTGTAACCATTGCACGCCGCTGAGGTTATTCACAGTAAACCGAGATCAAGTAGACAGATGGTGCGATGCAGCGAAAAGAGGTGTCTTGACATGGCTGAATTTGAGGTATCTATTGGTACAAATGCCATGAGAGAATTGTGTTGTCCACTGAATACCCGACGCAAAACTTGGTAACGGCTGGTATCGCTTCTCAAAACACTTGCTTTCCAACCTTGTGCCTGGGATTTCGATTAGCCCATCTTGCTGGGACATAGAACATCGGGAAACGGTCATGTGGTTTCGTTGCTCTGCTGGGCGAGGAGGCATTGTGATACGTCTTTGTTTTTGAATGAAAGCATGACCAGAAAAATGGGTTTGGTGATCGCTTTCGATGATAAAAGGTCCTATGCTGAGCAGGGTAGCTACTTTCCGTCCAGGCACATCGAAGGCGACGTCTTTGCCATTCAATTGGCCTTTTTAGAGAGCTCAGGGTTATGTACCGAGTCAATGTTGGCCAGTGAAAGGTTCAGGAACTCATGTTTGTTAGACCAATTCTGCTGTCCCTCAGCAAACTCCTTCATCTGCTGAGGGGGAGGCGGTGGGTCAGTGATCTTGGTGATCAGGTATGCGGTGGATGCTTCGGCAATGCCATAGACGAGTACGCCCACCAGAGGGATTCTGACAAGGATGTAGAATCCCAGACCAAAACCAAACAGAACTCCCTCGCGGCTGCGGAACCAGTTTCGCTTTTGATCCTTTGTAAAGTGAACACGAGCGAAGTATGGTTCAAGCAACTCTCGCATTAAACTTCTGGAAGAGAAGTAGCTCTGGAGGAAGATTACCAGGTACCTTCGAGGGAGGAAAATTCCCGTACCAAAGATGATCGAGGCCGGTCCTAAGCCCACGGCGTTGTTGAAGGTGTAAAAACTGGCTGCGGGCAGGACAAATCGACCGATATATGGTGTGTATGAGATCGCAAAAACTGCTAAAGAAATACCACCCTTGCGAAGGAAGCGGTAGAGAAACATGGAGACAGCCTGAGCGGTACTTTCAGAGTGCGTACTTCCATCGGAGGGACGGTGCATCTTGAGGTTAGGATAATACATATCCCGAAGCTCTGAAGGCTTGTCACCACGGTGCTTTTGAACATAGGTCATATCAACCCATTGCAGTGACTGCATGAAGCTATTTGCAGGTGGTTAGATGCTGTCAAGTGTTTCGTGATGTTTAGTACTCGACTTACAGGTTATCGAGGGTCGGTACAACATAACGCATGAGAGCCATGAGGAAGAAGGGGACTTGGAGGACATATTCTGCGACAAAGTCAAGCCCACCGACGAGAGTATCGTCCCATGTGACGGCATCAAGAGATACAAAGAATGAAATGAACCATAATAACACTTTAATCCCGACAATCTGATTGTGCAGTCAGTAGGGTTACTCTTCTGCTCATGCTGGTAATGAGACTCACGGGTATGGTGACGATTAGTCTAATAGCAAGACCTGCCACAACTGCAATGGCAGCTTGACGATAGTGATCGGTTGTGAAAAGTGCCGGATTCTGTAGTGCTCGATGGGCTATATTGTTGGTTAGTAATGGGCAAAAGGCATAATGCCATATGGTGGTACTCACCTCCCACCAGAGTGAGCTGAGCGCCACGTATTACGGTGTTGGGATCGAAGTGAGAGAGATCGAATTTTTCCTCAAGCTTCTCCTTCAACTTGTCCTTATCAAGTTGAGTCTTTTCGTTAGACGACATCTTGAGAGCTGAAGCTAGGTATGGGAAGCTGAAGGGTATGAGGGAGACCAAGCTGTAGGCGCCCAGAGCTCAAGTTGAGCTTGTGTCGACGGGCTGAATTTTAGTGAATACACTGTATCAGACACGGAATTTTGCCTGCCCCTCTGAAGAGAATGAAGGGTCTTTTTGAGACTGTTGAGAATTTGGCAGTCTCAGGTTCTGGTTAAGAAATGAAGGTAGTAGTGATATTCAGGAACACGAGTTCGGAACCTTGGAATGGTAAGACTGTAAGGTGACGTAAGTATCGTGAACCAATTGAAGCTTACGCCAGATTGGCTGCTGAGTTAGCTCTTTGCCCAGCTATGGGTGTATCCACAAGAGAACAAGAATGACATGTGATATGTGAGAACTACAAGACAAATACTATTCTTTGAAGATTGTCTTTGGGAGAGCCGCAATCCTCTCGAAATTACAGGACACAGCAACGTGAACATATTTTTGAAGAAAGCCCTCATGACCGAGACAAGCGCTCATAACATGGAACCTCGTTTTGCTGTGTCCTCCAACCTCCACTTAAACCAGTTGTGATTGCTCCGCCACCTCTTTATGGCTGGCTGGGGTAGGACAACTGCATCCAAGTGGCGTTCGCAGCTATGTATGCAAGGTCAAGCTTACATCCATCCATTAACTTCGTAGGTAAACAAAGAAATGTACCATAAGAGGGACAGCCAAGTTCAAACTCGTCAACGTTCTTGTATGGAGCGTTGAGTTCATCGGACGATAAAGCTTGGACATGAGCAAATTCTCATCGTATGACAACTCAAATCTCTTACACCAAACGTTTTACAGAACTCGAGTAGCATGGGCTTGAACTCGCTGTGCACAAAAATGTCCCGAGTTTGTTGAACAGCTCTAGCTCAATCAAGGGATCGAGGAGCGGGACGACGGGATCATCAGCGGGCCTAGGAATGTGTATGCGGATGACTAAGGCTGCACCCCTCTACACTCCCCTGTAGATTAGGTGCAGCACAGTAGATGGCTGGGCCAGATTCCATCCGCCGCGCCTCAGCACTACGGAACGGAAGTTGAGGGAGCGAACAGAACAGAAAAGAAAGGACCTTCCTACACTCGGGTCGTTCGATAACGATAAAGATAACATAACACCCAAGAACCCGCCCCTATTCGTTATTCTCCCCCTTCGAGCTTGCGTTTCCCCTCCATACCTCCAACTACCTACCCTGCGTAGTCTCCCTTCCACTGAGGCGTTGGTTGGTCAGGGGACTCGACTCGCGATCCATCAACTCGTCACGACCCGGCGCGAGAACCACAACTCGACCAACATCCACGGCGGGCGCGCAGCCATGAACGATCTTCCCTGTTTGTCTCTTCGAGATGTTTGAGATGTAGCCAGGTCGAACAAATATTTGCGCTATCAAAAAAGAACAAACTGCCGCGACGTCACATCCTTATCATGGATGATTCGGGTGACGATTTGGCGGCTCGGGGGCCCAGACGAGTATCAACCGCCCCTATGCCTTCAAGAGGTTCCACGGAACCAGAAACACCCGATTCAGATCTTGTCGAAACACTCTACAGCCATCCAAATGTCAAGATAATATCCTTTACGGCCACCGGCCGAGCCTATGCGAGGAGTCCTGGAGGGCCCGCCTTGAGCAATGTTGATCCACCAAGTTCTTTGTCATGGTCCTCACAGCTCGAGAGAACCATCGCTGTAGGTGAGTTGACAAATGAATACCTACGTATGCACCGCTAGTTACTAAGTAAAGCACATAGGACCCTTTCGCATATATCGAGCCCCAAGATCGGTAGCCTTTTTGAGCTGCGGTTCTGCACTACAACCAATTCTACGAAAAAGCCAGTGCTGGTGTATAGACGAGGTCAATAGTAGATTCGTCCTGCAAATACGGCGACCGAATTACTGGAGAATAGAACTTCCAGTCGATGACCCCAAAGATCAACAGCGAGCCGAAGAACTGAGAGAAGTGTTGGACAAGATTCTACAATTTGAAAAGACTGAATGCCCTTTCAAGCGCACCTTTACTGTCGATTTGCCAGAGCAGGTTCCCGTCACAATCCTGCCCTGGACGCCGCGCGCACAACCTATAACCCCTTCCGAGGAGGCAACACCAGCATCCTCTACAGACTCACGAAGGTCATCCTTTGTTGGGAGAGCTTCTACACCTACTCCATTAATTCCTAGACAGCCCAGAGATATACCAACGAGCCCGATACCAACCAGACCTGAAAGCGCGGCATCTAACGTGGTGCCTTCCAACATATCTCTTTATGAGGAGTATGGAATGAATCTCGACCCTCTGCAACCGTTAGGTACAGGGAATGCCGGCACGGGACCCTTGGAGGCTGTCCCAGAACGCCCAGGTGAACTAGGCTCTTCAGATATGCTCGAGTCTCACGATAGGTCATCTGTACTCTCTTCCAGTCCCACGGATGATGATTCCTCCGTGTATCAACTCCACGAAGGCTCTGGAAATCGAGGTGGCAATATGAAGGCCAGGCTACGACGACGAACTGGGAACTTCACAACAAGATCTGCTACGATGCCACCACACATGATGCCAACACTGGATAAGTCTGCACCGTCGGCTTCCATGTCAAGGGAGCCTCTCTTAAGAAGTGTATCGGAAACAACAAGAAAGCCGACTGGCCGTACTGCAGATACCATCTCTTCTCCCCAGAAGAAGAATAAAGGAGATGTGAAGCCCTCCCAGTCGCCGCAGCAAAAGGGCAATGCTCAACAACCGAGATTACTACGTAGAGATAGCGAGGAATCTTTCCATAGTGTTGAGTCATGGCATTCGTCTGGAGCTCCACAGCATCCTTCGCCTCCAACTTCTCAAGCAGAATCTTCTCTGGAGGCAAATAATGACTCGTACGAGGCAGATAGACTGTCAGCGGGCAAAAGAAATAAATCATCACATAGCAGGGGTAGTTCTCCCATGCCATGCGCATGGGAGTCCGACTCTGATGATGATAGCGAAACATCCGACGAAAGCTCATCGTCGGATGCAGATTCAGTGAGAGAGCTCAAAAATGATGCCTTCCCCAAACTTGACGCCGGCCCGTCGACAGCAGCTATGACTGCACCGCAGCGGCCATTCGTTCCACGCCATAGAGCGACGACCGGTAGTATTTCTGTAAGGCGACGCGCCCTGTCACCTCTGCCACCAGCAGCCAACCTCTTCACACCTGCTTCAACCATGGAACGGAGACCATACAGGAGTAAGTTGGAGACGGTTAAGAACCTTCCAATGGCTATCATTGCGAAGACTTACGAGATGATCTTGGGTCCTCCCAGCTCTCTCATCCGCCTAATCCTCAAGGTGGCAGCTAAGATTGCTTCTGGACAATGGCGAGGTCTCGTATATGGGTATGGTGAGGATGGCGAAGAAATACCAGTGCAGTGGGATTACTCTGAGGGAGAATTCAGCGACTGGAGTGATGATGAACACGATCAACACGATCGCAGTCATAACCAAGGGAAGCGAGAGCATCGGCATAGCAGACACCGCAGCAGTGGCCAAGATATGACAGCAGACGATGAGATGCGCAGGCGGCCCTCATCCTCAGACGATAGCCGAAGCTGGGGCGTTGATTGATCAATCAAGTGTGATGTGCTTAGTACGTGCTATGCTTATGCTGTATGATGTTGAAAGGTCCGTATTGAGAACGTTTCTATGAATGAGATGCAGTGGAATATTGCGGTGTGGCGGGACGTTTTGGTTGGGCGCATGGGATAGGACCAGCCGGCGCTCACTGTAGGGTTCAATATATGGATGGAGTTTTATACATTTCTTCAAGATCTATCTATTGGAGCTCAGGAGTTCGTATGAGCGAGCCACTTTGGCATTTATTCAACATTTAATTGTACACTATAGCTTTATTTCATGAACATGATGATACTCTACTCTACTACATTTACTTCCTTGGCACCTTCATGAACGAACCGCACGTTTACAAATTTCTAGCTCCATGATTTCTCGCGGGCTTTGACAGATCTTCCAGGCACACATGGGACATCTACAAAGAGACGGGATGTGAGCTGAATGGTAGGCATGTACCGATAGGCAGCCGCAAGTGAATAAGCAATGCGATGAATACGGGGCAATGCGAGATAAGTCATACGGAATTGAAGTGCCTCGCCCACTGACAACGGGTCAGAAAGACGTGTTGGGATTGGATGGTTTGCTGTATGACCCGCCTACTAGGGAATCGTATTCCTCGCATTCATCCACGATTGGTCAATTACTGGCACCACGGGGCTGAAGAGTGATGGTATCGGCCGAAGATGCACTGAAATGACATGGGGAGTTATGATGATTAAAGGGACCTTGTTATTGATCTTATCGTCATGGCTGAGTATATAAGTTGGAATATGTCTCTTCGTTTTGAGACTGTAGAGTCTCGATGTAAAGAAAAACACGGCGGGAGGACTCGTAACACTTATACGCACTTGTTATTGAGACACCATCATGTCTGACGGGAAATATGGTACGACATCCAATTTCATGGTTAAAAACTGATAAAATCGTTGGAAACTGACCACATATTAGTTGATGGGAGCTACTGGTTCTATGCCCCTCATAAGGGTGCCGCCATCTTCTTCTGCCTCGCTTTCTGTTGCACAGGATGCTTCCACATATGGCAGTGCAAGTGAGACTCCAGCCCAATCCATCATAGAAAGTATGGAAGAGCTAGAAGACTTATGGTAACTGATCTTCTTTTGCAGACTGTATAAGTGTTGGAAGTTGACACCTCTGTTCTCATTCTGCTCTCTTCTGTTCACTACCGGCTTCGCACTTCGGGTATATGGAGCTTTTCACTATGACAACCTCGAAATTTTCATCGCTAGTGTCTGTATCACTTATGCAGCGCCGTAGGTTACTCCAGTACTCGAGACTCGACCGTGGTGTAGCATGCTGACCCTCCCGTCCGCAGACCACTACTGGAGCTTCAGAACTATCGCATCCTCGGTCGAATCTTGTACTACGTCCCGTACAACTCACCCATCCACCCTGGGCGTGTCCTGACAACCTTTGGTTTTATCTCAGGCATCGTTGAGGCTCTGAATGGCTGGGGTGCTTCATACTCGGCGAATCAATCGTTGACCGACAGCGAGATTGAGATAGGTCATGCTCTGATCAAGACCTCATTACTCTTACAGATTGTCGTGGCAATGCTGTTCATTATGCTGGCTGTCACGTTCCACCGTCGATGTGTTGTTGCTGACATCACGAACGAGCGACTCTACAAGCCACTATGGACTTTGTATACGAGCATGACCCTTATTCTTGCGCGAACCATATATCGCATCGTGGAATACTTCAGTGTTGCGGAACTCAGGTACGGTCCAGGCTTCGACCCAGCAAAAATTAGCCCTATCGTGAGATACGAGTGGTTCTTCTATGTGTTTGAGGCAGCTCTTATGCTTTGCAACCTTGTCATGTTCAATATACGGCATCCCCGGCGATACCTTCCCAAAAACAACAAGATTTACCTCTCCACAGACGGCGTTACAGAGATTGAGGGCCCTGGATACAAGGACCCAAGGAAGTTGTGGCAAACCCTTATCGATCCTTTCGATATTCAGGGGTTGGTAACTGGTCGTGGCCGGGAAACTGACAAGTTCTGGGAAACGGGCCACGGGCGGCCGACAGACTCGACTAAAACTGTGGGAGTAAAGACTGAAACTGTTTAGTAGGGTTTTCCAGAGCTGTTTCAGAGGATACAGGCGGTCGTGTTACATTAGAGGATTGCTTTTTGAGTGGGATTCGGGATGGTTGACAGGATGCTCAGCGTATGTTGGGTACCTAATTAGCGCTTTTCCTGTGAACTGACTAAGGTAGAGCTGGGAGATAAGAGTTGATACATAGACAAAATACTTGTCTCACCGCATGCCCATCCTATATGAGCCTCAGCAGTGTGGCTTGTCACAAGAACAGGCGTTTTGGTCAAGATTGAATTGACACAACATTAGTACCTGTACACTGAAACAATGCATGGATCGGGACAAAACGAGACAATAGCAATGTCGAAGAATCAAAGCAACAAGCTCGGGTCATGATGTTTGGGTTGTTGCCCTATTAAATGAGCTTTCAATGCCGACGCAAATTGCAAAATGGGTCAAATATCTATACCCATAGCCCACTCAAGCTATAGGCGCATCTGAATTGGTATTTGATGCGGGCGAGCGAATCAAATCAAGGTAAATTGACGAGAAGGAATGATGAAATGGCCCTTTCGGCGTTTTTATTTAACTGAGACAATCCATGTGATCCTTCATCGACGAAGGATCGGAAGGGGGAACACAGCCTCTTCAACCCCAGAATTGTAAATTCAATAGAATTGGCTGGGCAGAATAGAAAGTGCATACGATACATATCTGTTTTTGCAAATGTAAAATTTTCTATGTTACAGTATGTATTAGTTTTCACATATTACCGCACGGTAAATCATCTTGTATTTGTGATGTATGTTTGATTGTGAGGTTGTCGATGCGGTCAGTGTTTACAGGGGGTTCCCAAGAATGTTTCTAGAAAGGACGCATAGAGTGGGATTTGGTTGACCCTGTACGTTGATCCTGGCGATCCTGATTCTGTCATCCAAAAGACTCCGCAAGCCTATTTCGATGTCGTTGATGCTGCAAAAGCCGTCAAAGACTTTATATCCGCAGTTGCAATTTACTTTTTCGCATATCGATTTCGCTAATTAGGTTTAGATGAGCCAAAAATAAACACGTTCTAACGAGGACGTGCTCGTTTTGGAAATACCTTCGCCACACCTTGCGGTCACTTTTGCAAGCCTCAATCAGTTTTTAGCGTGGGATTGCGGGGGGCCCTTGGCTTCTGGTGCAAATGAGAAGCGAATCCGCTAGGCTTATTGAGGTGCTACAGCTCGTTTCGGGCAACATCTTGTACCCGTTCGTCCCTTCGTAGTAGAAACACACGACCTCAGTTAATTATGTGTCTTTGGCCTCGCTCTCCCTGAGTAATGGTTCTTTATGTGCTGAGCATGAATATCTAGCGGGCCACAATAATTAGTGCATACGTCAGTGCATCGATGTTCTGTTTTGACAAACGCCAAGAAACAGATCCTCATCATCCTTGTCCCGCGACATCCTTAGCTTCCTCCACGGACGCCGTGCAGGCCCCGTATCAGACGGCGGCCGATAGCTTGAAGCGGCCATAGCCATCTTTCAGTTCAGCTCACCAGAGCTCCTCCTAGTCAGGCCAGGTCAGGTGGCAATCAAGGACCAGCCTGGGCCTAATACAAGACATTCTACTAGGACCTTTGAAGCTGAATCTATCATTCTATCCCTTGACAAGCTGTACATTCACTGTACAACAGCCCGGGGCTTCGCTGTATCACTACCAACAACACAAGGGCTTCGCCTCTTTTGCTCCTTACCTCACCTCAGATTAAGGAACCTCGGTCTTTTTCTGACCACGCTAAAGACCAGAGGCGGAGAAGAGTTCTAAGCCTCCTACTGGAGCAAGCAACTCCATATACTTATCCATCCATCCATCTCACACACCTTGACGACTTTGTTCCATTCCTTTTGTTCTTCTCTCTCTCCTCTGCCAAATTCTCTAAGCACTGCTGGCTATTGTCCACCCAAGCCGGACATTGCGTTTGTTACAACACGTCTGTTATGATCTGACGCCTGTCACAGAGTCTCTCACCACTAACGATTTCGCCCACCAAATCTTTCTGAATCCACTACATTCGATCCATCACATTACCCCCTGGTGAATCTGTTGCTAGTTCGACGTAACGTTACGATCAGTATCTTTCAGCCGCCATCTCCCACCAGTTGCCATCATGGGGGAACGACCAGGCATTTACGTTCATCTGGAAATGGGCGTCCCACTGCCCAAAATCATGTCCAAGGACCGACACATTACTTATGTATCAAAGAGCATGCGCGACCGAGCCAACCAATTCCCTCGCCAACTACCTCCAACAAATACCAACTATCTCAACGCTCCCGCACAGTATCAGGTTGCTCACCAACAAATGCCAACCCAAGCCCAGCAACCACAGACCCAACCACAGCAACAGTTCACTCACCCCATAAACAACCTCTCTCCCAATAATTACAGCAGAGATCCAGTGCCGGTTGGCATGGCCCATGAACCCACATATCAGCCATATCGTCCTCAACAGGCACAACACCACATCAGAGAGTATTATGCACCAGCTGCCCCAGCGCAACAACAGCAGCGAGAGACTCACCCCGAGGAGCTGCGACTAAGCTCCAGATCCGCGGAAAGAAGTTCTCACGAGCGTGGAAGGTCTGCGCCCCCTCCTTTGAACAGCAGTCCCTGGGATGTGACCTCGAACAATTCAGGAGGCGAGCCCCAAGTTTGGAAAGCTTTGCCTGCAACGCCGAATCAGTTCCGACTCGGAGAGGGCGACATGCCATGGGACGGCTGGAATTTCCCTATGGGATTCAATGATAACAACGGAGATGACGACAACAACGAAGGGGGAGAGAACCGCACTCGTTCGCGTGAGGCCAGCCTCCGAGCAACATGGGGACCCGAGTTCCCAGGAGAACCATCACGATATGTCCAGCCTGTGCAAGTGGATGATCGAGCGCGAGGCAAGGCCAAAGACATACAGTCATTAGCTTCAGCACTGATGACAGTCGATAACGGGTTTGAAGACCAGTGGTGGTATCAGGGACCACGTCTCGTCCATCTTGATGGAACAACAGTCATGGTGCCTACAGCTGTTCCAAAGTCCAGCTTTCACCCAGACCATCAACAAAGCTCGGTAGGATGGGCTGTCTCGCGCGAAGAAGAGCAACGACAGAAGGACCTCAAATATCAGCATCAGCTACAACAGAGTCGCCGCGAACAGGAGCAGCAGCGATATCAGCGTAACCGACAAAGGCATCTATCTCTCCAGGAAGAGCAACTCGTATCTTTTGTCTCACCAAATACATCTTTCCAGCCTGTATCACCTCGATCGAGCCTTGCAGATATTGTGTCGCCTTTGAGCGACTATCCGAGTCCGCTGTCGAGTTATGGGGGACTGAGACGATCTTTGACCACGAGATCAGATGAACTTCACATATAGATTCCCCTGGACGCGACCTTTACCACTGTTGGGAAATATGACAAGTACCGCGACGCATTGGCTTATGACAAAGTCAAAATGGTTCAATGAGGAACATACATGGTTCCCCTGTCATGGCGAAATAGTTATTGGTTTGCGAGTCAAAAAGCTTTACCCCAGAGGATATTCAGGTCTCATGAATGAGAGAGTTACCATGTCATATGTTTTCAGGCGCTCAGAAGATGTCTATGGTGATCCTATATAGGGTGGCGTTCACAAAGGGTTTGGCATCTTTTAGATACCTTTTTGATTTGGGTGCGAGGAAAAGACTTAATTGACCGTTTAAATGACGAAAACCGTTGTTTAGTTCTGATATAATAGCTCTCGTCTAGTGATTATTGTGCAGTAAGCCGCTCGAAGCCGACAACAACGTGATCAAAGTAACTGATTCTGGGCCTTGAAGTGGGACCAATGAAGATAAAAGTGAATTGAATGTTGATTGAGTTTCGGGCATTCATAGGAAGCGGCAGGAACCTCAGATAGTGAACCATCAAGGTGAGTGTTCTGATATGCGGTCATCATGCATAAAGTGGTCAAGGTGAAGCTCTCACCGGGTCTTTCGGTAGCAGCTTTCCTTCTTCGTTCCGTCCCTTCTAGAGAATTAACATGACTTGAAGTTGAGCAGAAGCCCATTGGCTCAATTACAGCGGGTGAATCCGGATGCCATTGGCTGCTCGGCTAAGCCGTCGGGCATCAGGTATTGAAATGGTTGATTCAAGCCAATCAGCAGCTGACGGAACTCATGGAAACCTCCTGTTATGCCGGACATGTACCTCCTAGGTTATTTATGGCTGCGCTACACCGTCTTGGGAACCTCGGTGTACCTCAACGCTAACGCATACGTTAACTGGCTTTTTTTCTGCTTCCCCCAAAGCTTGCCGATACTTGTTTGTGAGTGGAACATCGCGAATCATTGTCCGAGCTTGTCTCATCCGTGTGTAGTTTCGTTTTTCCCTCCTGACCTGCATTCTAAAGATCTCCACCTCCATAATACGCAACAACCCGCGATCCTCCCCGTCGCATCCTCTCCTCTCCTCGACAATCCCTCTCACAGTCCTTCAAAATGCTCTCAAGAAGTATAGCTACCGCCGCCCGTATGGTGCCCGCCACCAGGGCGCTGAGGCCCCGTTCGCACCCTCTCGTCATGCTTCCCTCCATGATGCAGACCGTTCGCACCTACGCCGATTCCGTCATCAAGGTTCCTCAGATGGCCGAGTCCATTTCCGAGGGTACTCTCAAGCAGTTTTCCAAGAGCATTGGCGATTATGTCGAGCAGGATGAGGAGATCGCTACCATCGAGACCGACAAGGTATGAATGCCGTCATAGCAATATTGAAAACTGTCACCAGGACAGCCTTACTAAAACATCGTCACCAGATTGACGTTGCTGTCAACGCTACCGAGTCTGGTACCATCAAGGAGTTCCTCGTTGCCGAGGAGGATACAGTTACTGTCGGACAAGACCTTGTTCGGATTGAGCTTGGAGGCGCGCCATCCGGTGACAAGAAGGAGGCCCCCAAGGAGGAGTCCAAGGAGCAGCCCCAGAAGTCCGAGTCTGAATCAAAATCCGAATCAAAACCTGAGCCCAAGCAGGAATCCGCTCCTGAGCCCAAGAAGGAGTCTGCTCCTGCTCCCAGCAAGCCCGAGCCTCCCCGACAGGCCGAGAAGAAGGACTCCAAGCCACAGTCTGCCGCTTCCAGCGGTCCCTCTATGGGTAACCGAGAAGAGCGCCGTGTAAGTTGCTAAATGCCATGATGCAGATGTTTTTGAGTCCAGTTCTCGAGTACTAACGGTCTATTAGGTCAAGATGAACCGTATGCGTCTTCGAATTGCCGAGCGTCTCAAGCAGTCCCAAAACACCGCTGCTTCCCTGACCACCTTCAACGAGGTCGACATGTCCAACATCATGGAGTTCCGCAAGCTCTACAAGGAGGACGTTCTCAAGAAGACTGGCGTCAAGCTTGGTTTCATGAGTGCTTTCTCTCGAGCCTGCGTTCTTGCTATGCGCGATCTCCCCGCCGTCAACGCCTCCATTGAGGGACCCAACGGCGGTGACACCATCGTCTACCGCGACTACGTCGATATCAGCGTGGCTGTCGCTACCGAGAAGGGCCTTGTTACCCCTGTCGTCCGAAATGTCGAGTCTATGGACATGATTGGCATTGAGCAATCGATTGCCGATATGGGCAAGAAGGTTGGTCGCAATTGTGCCACGCCCACAAGTAGACTGATGACTGACCATGTGTTTACAGGCTCGTGACAACAAGCTTACTATCGAGGATATGGCTGGTGGCACCTTCACCATCAGCAACGGTGGTGTTTTCGGCTCTCTCATGGGTACTCCCATCATCAACCTCCCCCAGAGTGCAGTTCTTGGCCTCCACGCTATCAAGGAGCGCCCCGTTGCCGTTAACGGCAAGATCGAGATTCGACCCATGATGTACCTTGCTCTTACTTACGACCACCGTCTGCTGGACGGCCGGGAGGCTGTGCAGTTCCTTGTCAAGGTGAAGGAGTACATTGAGGATCCCCGAAGGATGCTCCTGTAAGAGACATTACTGAATGTCAAGCTACTTAATACCCTATAGCATGTAGTCAATAGTCTTGTCGAAGAAATTCGAGGCGCCTTGGCTATCATCTATTGTATACTAAACAAAGATAAAGTATTGAGCATGCATGTTCTCTTGCCAATGTTCATAAACATAGATTTCATCATAGTGATATATCCTTGTTGCTCTGGTGTGGTGAACTTAGCCTGACGAAATTGAAGCGTGCCTCGTTTTGGCTTAGTCCTTTTATTTCGTAAATCATTCGCAAGGTATCCTGTGACTTATTAAGGACCTTATGACCCAGCTTTGTTTGTGATTGCTTGTTTTACCACGCTTGAATCAGATCGAATGAGAACATGTCAGTCCCTGTGAGCGCCCTTTTTGTTATTGACATCCAGAAAGATCTGGCATCCGATGACAAGACCGAAATTCCTCACGCTGAGCGAATACGCGATGCCGGAGAACAAATACTTGAGGTTGCAAGAGGTATCGCTGCCGATCCGAAACCCATCATAGTTTTTGTTCAGCATGAAGAATCGCCTGAGAGTGGTCCTCTTGTAAAGGGTAGCAAACCATGGGAGTTGGTCTTCGAAAACGACCCAAACAATACAAGAGAATTACTCGTGTCAAAGAATCAACGTGAGATTGTTGCACATTCATTCATTATTCATTGCTAACTGTACCTAGGAGACACGTTCAAGTCAAATCCAGATTTAGCTGGTCTCCTCAGGTCGAAGGGCATTCAACACATTGTTGCGTTTGGCATACAGAGCGAGTGCTGTGTGCTGGAAACTTGCAAGGGCGCTCTGGAAGCTGGTTTTCGAGTCACGCTCCTTCAAGGTGCTCACTCTACTTACGACACAAAGAACAAACAAGCCGTTCAAATTGAGGAAGATGTTGAAAATGAACTCAAGGTTCTCGGTGCTTCAGTTACTCCATGGCAAACTGCTATCGGTCAGTGGGCCAACACTGGAGTCTTAGGCTGAGATTGCATAATACATCAAAAGAGTGTTATTTCTATGATAGCTGTCAACTGTTCGTATGCTGCAGTTGCCAGTACGGAATGGCTTGTACTGAAAGATGGTTTCGGTCGTAGCAACAATGTGAAGTGCTGATCCATGCTATTTTTGCAGCCCTTTCAGATTGCGACATGGCGAGAAGGAGTGTGTTGAAGTGGCATTTACAGCCCGAGTCCAGTTATGTTGCGGTGCCATGAATGAATTCGAGGATCGTTATCTGTCATCCCGAGGGAAGTTCGCACAAAAAGAAAAGCCATATCCAGTGAACATCGTGAGCCATGGTGCTCATACTGGCTGTGTCTAAACACACTTGCTAGCCGTTTCGACCATGGCATTCGAGGAGTAAAAGCTTGTTTGCTCGTGTTGCCATATTCTCAGCGCCGTGATTAATGCCATGAGCCGCCATCGCTCTTTGGGACAGTATTGAGCTTCAACGTCGACGAACATCATCCTGAAAGGTTTGGTAAGGCTCATTAACCGCTTGAACGATGTGATAGCAACAGCTTTGTCTGAAGCTACGCTACTGCAAATTGCGGCTGGAGGCTGAAGTCGAAAGAGTTTGTACTCATGAGCATAATTCTTATCGAGTATCTCGTCTTTAGCTGTCATGCGCCACTCAAAGTGCTCCTGGTGAAAATCGCCGTTGGTGTCCTCCTGTTTGCCCTTGGTGTCGGCTGTGGAGATGCGCTCTGTGAAGATTGAGAAGGGAAAGGTGACAGTACGGCCATCTTCCAACAGCCGAGCTGACATGTCTTCCATAGCAACCGTAGAGTCTCCAGTCTTGACAATATTCTCCTGACTCAATACGGGAGAGAGATTGATGAGGCTCTTGAATTGAAGGGCCGTACTGTTGGACTTGTACGGTTCTCCAGCCGCTGCCAGCACCTTATCTTTGGCAGACGGTCCATTATGAATCAAGATGCAGAAGCGATTGATACCAACACCGGTAACACCCGCATAGACAGAGGCAGCGAATATTTTCTTGTTAGATTCATCACCGAGATGGAAATTCCTATACGAGAGCTGATAGTGTGCGATCAAAGTCTTTGGCAAAGGAACGTATGATGAGTCTGCACATTCTTGAACGAATGGCTTTGGCGCTGAAGAAGATATGGTTGCACCTGTACCAGGTGCTGAAGTTGCAGATTGCGAGATACATGAATATGGCGGCAGAGGGTCATCAGGGAGAGAGGAGCTTGGAGGACTATGCTTAGAATCCATAGTGCAAGGAGATAAATATTTAAATAAAAGAGAAGATAAAATTAAAAGAAGAGAAGTATTTAAAGCAAAGGTTATTTTTTAATTTTAATTTTAAATAGAAATAAACTTATAATATAATTAAGTATTTTATTAATAAAAATATAAATAAGTATTAAAAAATATAATATTATAAAAATAAAAAAGCACTGCCAAGGACAAGGGAAATATCTTTTTTATACTTATAAATTAAGGCTACTTATTTAATTAAATCTTAAGGTTTAAGGTAATAATTATATAATCTGCTAAGACTTAATATTAAGGTTATTATATTTTTTAGTATAATATATAATACCTTATATTATATTATATTAAAAATAAATACCTTATTTTATTATCTTATTTTAATACCTTTGGCTTTACTTTATATATTACTAGATAGGTATTTTAACTTTTAAATAAAAAAGCTAAGTAAATATAATAATATTATATTATATTAAAATTATTATAATAGTTTTAAAATAGGAAAGCTAAGTAGGTTTAATAGTATTATATTAATTAAAGCTATAGGAAAAAAAGAATCCTCTATAAGGTAATTTTAAGAAAAAAGGGTAATTTATAATTAATTTATTATTATTACCTAATTAATAACTAATTAATCTGCTTATTAGAAAACTAAATAAAATAAGAAGTAAAGTAAATATAATAATTATCTCTTTTTCTTTAAATAGCTATTTATAATTATTAATTTATAAATAATAGAATTTTTAAGAATACTTAAAAGTAAGTCCTTAGCCTTTTAATTTAAAGGCTTTATAAGATATATTTAATTATAATTATAACTTATATTAATATATATAAGATCTTAGATATTAAGAAGATAATTAATTAGGCCTTATTTACTTATGAGTATTATATTAATTAAAAGTATTAAATTATTACTTAAAATTATTTTATTTTTATATCTTATATTATAAGTCTTTTATATTAACTAGCTTATATTTAATTAATTACTAATTTATATTATAGCCTAATTAAATTTATATTATTTAATAAGCCTTTTAAAAGTTATATTTATCTAATAATAAGATTATTAAATCTACTTAGGTAATAGCCTATAATAACTTTACTTCTAGGATATTAAAGGTTTTAAATTACCTTAAGTATTATTATTATTACTAAGCTTAATTTTAATTCTTTAGAGTTATAAATAGCTTTTATAAGTTTATTAAGTATAATTTATATTAATTTTATTTCTTTTTTTATATTAGGTTAATAATATTTAAGAAGGAGATTAATATTAATAAAGAACTCTTATATAAGATTAATAAGTCTAAGAGTAATAAGAAGTCTATAAAAAAAGATATTAAAAAGGCTAAGAAGTCTATAAGAAAAGGTATTAAAGAGGCTAAGTTTAATTTTAATAAGTTTATTAATTTTAAATAAAGATTTATAATATCTCTAAGGTAAGTTAATCTTATATATATAAATAATTTTTATAAGATAATCTTAATTATTTTTCTTAGTAATAATTAGTTTTATAACCTTTAGGCCTAAATCCTATATATTATATTCTTTTATTAGATAACCTCTTTTTCTTAATAAAGCTAGGTTTTAAGTCTTTAACCTTTTCTTTTTAGCCTTAATTTTTTATTTTTCTTTATTATTAATAATTTAAAATATATTTATTATATTCTTAATTAATAACTATTAATTATATTTATTTAGCTAATCTTTTTATTTTATAAGATAATACTACTTCTTATTAATATACTTTATATTTTTAATATAATTAACCTTTTAATTACTTTTATTTTCTTTAAGTTTAAGTATTAATAATAACTTAAGAGCTAATTAATCTTTTATTTAATAAGGTTTTAAGAGGCTAATATAAAAGGTATTATAAAGTTTTAAGTATTAATCTAAGAGTATTAGCCTATAAGCTTAATAATTTATTTTCTTTATTATTTTAAATAAATTAATAAATCTAAGTATTAGTTTTTTTTTTTCTCTTTTAAATCTAAGGTTTTTTATAAATAATATAATAAGTTATTTTTATTAATAGGTTATAAGGATATACTTAATATTATAATACTTAGCTTATTTCTTAGTTATATTTACCTAATATTAGGATATATTTTTTTAAAGCTTATATATTTATTATACTTTTACTTATACTTCTAAGACCTCCTTTTAAGTATTATTATCCTTAGTAATATAATAGAACTTAGGTTTAAACCCTATTAGGGCTTAATTTAAAGTAATCTTAGTTATTATACTTACTACTAAATTATATATATATTATATAATTCTTAAGAGTCTTAGCTAAGTAAGTTAATTCTTATTAATAAAACTATATAAATAATATCTAAGAGTTTAATTTATTCTTTTAATTTAATTATTTATTTATAAGTAAAAAGCTATAAATAGCCTTTATTTTACCTTTAAATAAAAATAAACTTTAAATTAAAACTAATTAATAAAAATTAATTCTTAATTAAATATTATACCTAAGGGCACCTTAAAGATAAGCTTTATTCTATTATAAAAAAGCTTAATAGGTTTAAATATATTAATTATAATTAAAAAAGTAAAAAATCTAGTAATTTTTATAAATCTATTTATAATATCTTTACTATTAAAATAAATTAAAGGTAATTTTATAATAAAGCTTATAATTACCTTTTTAAAGGGTTTTAAAGGAATTAATAGGTTTTTAAGCTTCTTATATAGCTTATATCTCCTAGAGATTATTCCTTAGTAAATAAGATAAGTTTATATATATTCTTTTATATCTTATTTAAGACCTTCTTAATATAGCTTTTATTATAATAATTTAAGGGTCCTTTTTAACTTAAAGTATTTTATAAGCTTATTATTATAATATAACTTTAATAGTTTATCTTATAATATAAGGTCTTTTAGTATATATAACTTATTCTTAAAGTAAAAAGGATTATTCTTAACCTTCTACTTACTTAAGGTTTATTTCTTATTAGCCTTTATAATACTTTACTTTTAGGCTAAGATTAAGATATTATATAATTAAGCTAAGGTAATTACTTCTATTAATAGACCTTTAAGAGGTTTTTCTTATTATAAGGAATTTTATATTATTTTCCTTAGTATTATTATAAATAGTCTTAGTTATTTTAAAAATTATAACCTAAGAATATCTTATCTCTTTATATTACTTTTTAGTATTAGAATTATATTATTTTTAATTATTAAAGATATCTTATTAAGTTCTTTTTTACTTAAGGTTTAAGACTTAATTATCTTTATTTTAAGCCTTTTATTTAACCTTTCTTTCTTATAAGCTCTTATTATAATTTATATCTTAGCTATCTTACCTTTTAAGATTCTTAATAAGATAAAGTCTCAAGGTAGTTTTTTATAAGCCTTTATAGGTCTTAATAGTATATTAGCTAGGTTTATTAATCCCTTATAATATTTAATTATAAAATTATAAGGCATTAGGTAAAGGTATTATTAAGCTTATAATTATAAAATTATAAGGCATTAGGTAAAGGTATTATTAAGCTTACTTATTATTTAATTTTATATTCTTTATAAATAATTATAAGTTATAATAATTACTTAAGATTTTATTTTACTTTATTACTGTTTCTAGGTAATATTATTAATATTTAAATAACTTTATTATATCTATTATCTCTTAGTTTAATATATTATAATTTAATTTAGCCTTATTAAACTTTTATAATTAAAATATAATAAGTAGGTTTTTAAATAGGTAAACTAATTTATATTAGGTTTATATTTATAAATTATAGAAGGTATAATACTAAGTAATATAAAGTATTATATCTCTTAATAATTAAGTAATATATATGAGGCTTATTAATATAAAGAATTAATATTAATAGCTAGTAAGCTAAGTTTTATTTACTATTAAGTAAATATATATATATATTAAGATATATATAAGTTAAAAAAGGTTAATTTAACTCTATTTATTTATCTTTATTATATAAGTTAAATAATATATATTTAACTTATTATAAGATAAATAGATATTTATTAGAGGAAAATAATAAGGTATTTATCTTATATATATTAAAATATATTAAGTTATAATATTCTCTCTCCTCTCTCTAGGGTCTTATCCTTAAGGCCTATAAGTAACTAAGTATAAAATCTATAGGTATAATATAAACTTACTCTTATAAGTATTTTTCTATACTAATAATATATTTAGCTATATTTCTAAGTATATTAATTATCTTAAAGTAGCTTTTAGGTATTATAAAGATATTTTTAACTTAATTTATAAATTTAATTTTAAGATATCTTATTATTTTACTTATTTTTATACTAATTATCCTTAGTATATAAGTTCTAAGGGTAAATAGTAATATAATTTTTATATATCTAAGAAGTATATTAATTATAACTTTAATAGTGTAACTTCTTAAGCTTATATATTCCTTTCTTATTCTAGGGATATTTTCTATTCTTTTTTTACTAGTTCTTATAGTTATAAGAGTATTATATAAAAAAGATTATATTAATAAGCAGAAAGAGCAGGCTAAAGCTAACCTCTAAGTGGCTTTAGCCTATCTTTAGTGCCTATATTATTAGGAAAAATATCTTTATAAAAAGGCTATTAAAATAATTTATTATAATTATAAGGATTTTAATAAGTTAAAAGTATTAGAAAATTAAGAATTAACTAATTATTAGTCTATAAAATCCTTAGCCTTAAATAATATCTAATTATTAGAAGATTATAATATTATTAACTAAAATACTATATTAGATTTTTTCTTTTTTAGGGTTAATAGAAGTTCTTTAAAATTTATTAGGCTTTAATAAGGTATTTTAGTAATTCTTATATATTTTTACTTTCTAGGTAATTCTTTTACTTTATTAAGTATTCTTTTTTACTATTTTCTATATATATACCTTTAATTACTTTAGCTTTATAAACTTCTAGTCCTTTAACTTCCATAGGTT